CCCCCCCCCCCCCACCAGGACGCTGCAGAAAGGTCGGCCTCCTCCCTGGGGAAGCTGCTGAAAGGACGATCGTTTTCATTTAACGTTACATAAGAAGTTATTTTTGCACGTGGACGTTCGTCACCTGAAAAGTGAACAGTTAATCACCTGCTCGTATTGATGAACAGGGTTCAGTGATGAGAGCTGAAGAGTTAAACACCTGTGAAAACTTGTGTGGTGATGAAACACGCAGGACTGTGGAAAGTCAAGGAAAAGTAAATGTCATTAATACTTAAACAGCTGGTTGTTCAGTTATTAATTGTGCACATGTCAGTGTCGAGGTCTGTGAAGCCACAGGAGGAGCTGCTGTGTACACGCCTGTAAATGTCCTCTAGAGGGCGCCACAGACCTGGACCTGCGTCAGTCTGTTCAGTCACTGCAGCTCAGTGTATTAATGTGTTTGAATGTGTTTGAATGTGTTTTTCTTCAGGACTTTGAACTGAACAGTGACCTGAAGACGGGAGTGATCGGTCTGTTGGACGAGGTGCTGCGAGATCCAGACCTGCTGCCGCAAGAGAGGAAAGCAACAACTAATATATTAAGGTACACATCTGTTCATCCATCCATCTGTTCATCCATCCATCTGTTCATCCATCCATCCGTTCATCCATCCATCTGTTCATCCATCCATCTGTTCATCCATCCATCTGCTCATCCATCTGCTCATCCATCCATCTGTTCATCCATCCATCTGTTCATCCATCTATTCATCTCATCCATCCATCTGTTCATCCATCCATCTGTTCATCCATCCATCCGTTCATCCATCCATCTGTTCATCCATCCATCTATTCATCCATCCATCTGTTCATCCATCCATCTGTTCGTCCATCCATCTATTCATCCATCCATCTGCTCATCCATCCATCTGCTCACCCATCCATCTGTTCATCCATCAATCAATCTATTCATCCATCTATTCATCCATCTATTCATCCATCCATCAATCAATCTATTCATCCATCCATCAATCTATTCATCCATCCATCTGCTCATCCATCCATCTGTTCATCCATCTGTTCATCCATCCATCCGTTCATCCATCCATCTGTTCATCCATCCATCTGTTCATCCATCTATTCATCCATCCATCTTTTCATCCATCCATCTGTTCATCCATCCATCTATTCATCCATCCATCTGTTCATCCATCTGTTCATCCATCCATCCATCTGTTCATCCATCCATCTGTTCATCCATCTATTCATCCATCCATCTGTTCATCCATCCATCTGTTCATCCATCTGTTCATCCATCCATCCGTTCATCCATCCATCTGTTCATCCATCCATCTGTTCATCCATCTATTCATCCATCCATCTTTTCATCCATCCATCTGTTCATCCATCAATCTATTCATCCATCCATCTGTTCATCCATCTGTTCATCCATCCATCCATCTGTTCATCCATCCATCTGTTCATCCATCCATCTGTTCATCCATCTATTCATCCATCCATCTGTTCATCCATCCATCTATTCATCCATCCATCTGTTCATCCATCTGTTCATCCATCCATCCATCTGTTCATCCATCCATCTGTTCATCCATCTATTCATCCATCCATCTATTCATCCATCCATCTGTTCATCCATCTGTTCATCCATCCATCCATCTATTCATCCATCCATCTGTTCATCCATCTATTCATCCATCCATCTGTTCATCCATCCATCTATTCATCCATCCATCTGTTCATCCATCCATCCATCTATTCATCCATCCATCTGTTCATCCATCCACTCATCCATCCACTACATTAACATTCATAGATTCAGTTTGAGTTGAGTTCATGATAAATTTCACTTTCATACGTGTCGGTCGATAAAAGACAAAAACAGAAACCAGAGAAGTTTTGAAAAGTTTTTATAGTTTCTCCACCAGAAAGTTTATTTTTCCTCTGTGAAATGTCCTGATCACATTTCTCAGTCACAAATAACTTAATGTTCATTTAAATGATGTGTTGTGTAAAGAAAATGAATCAAATTGATGAATCAGATATATTCAAATGTTTAAACTCATTATCAATATTGATCGCATCAGAAATCAGGACATATAATAATAATAAACATTGATATTATATAATACATAAGATTCATGGCCACACACACACACACACACACACACACACACACACACACACACACACACACACACACACTGCTGTGGACTGTTGCTGTAACAGTGTTTTTCTCCTCAGTGCCCTTTCTCAAGATGAACAGGACGACGCTCAGCTGAAGATAGAGGACATCCTGCAGATGGTCAGTATCTCACCTGTTGTTACACAGTATCTCACCTGTTGTTACACAGTATCTCACCTGTTGTTACACAGTATCTCACCTGTTGTTACACAGTATCTCACCTGTTGTTACACAGTATCTCACCTGTTGTTACACACAGTATCTCACCTGTTGTTACACAGTATCTCACCTGTTGTTACACACAGTATCTCACCTGTTGTTACACACAGTAACTAACAGCAGGTGTGTCATTAAATAAAGCTCTGAGCAGCTGTTGAAATAACTTCTCTCCTGGTTGTGGAACAGAAGAGCTGCCCCCTGCTGCACTTCATCGTGGTAAGAGTCACGTCGTCGTTGTTCTGAGGAAGTCGCTCCTCTGATGAGAAGCTCTGGTTGTAGTTAGTGTGTGTTCAGGTAGAGGTGGATTATCAGTGTTAGTGTCGGTGTGGTGCTTAGGTCTCTGAACCAGCTCTCCCTCTCTACACAGTAGAATACAAACTGTACAGTGTGTGTGTGTGTGTGTGTGTGTGTGTGTGTGTGTGTGTGTGTGTGTGTGTGTGTGTGTGTGTGTGTGTGTGTTTCCAGGCGGAGAGTCCTAAAGCAGAGTGTTTTGAGTCCCTGTCGGCGATGGAACTGGCCGAACAGATCACACTGCTGGATCACATCGTGTTCAGGAGCATCCCCTACGAGTGAGTGCGTCACAGCTGACTGAAGTCACATGACCCCAGGGTTGTTTTAAAACGAGACAAAACACACACACACACACACACACGCAGCTCGGAGATGTGAACAGTTATTTCACACGTCTGTGATTTTTTTTAATCGTCTTCAGGAAAGTTTCCCAGAGAGATCTGTGTAATCTGGTTTTAATCATCGGGAAAATAAATACTGTATTCAACTGATACACTTTGATTTATAATGATAATAATAAACTTTATTTATTCAGCTGCTGCAAAGAGATTTACAGAGTTGAAGCAGGATTAAGACATTTGAAGATTGCACCAGATAAAATAAAATAAAATAAAATAATACACGAATAAAATACCCAACAAAAACATCAGATACAACAAGTAACACATACTGGTAATAAACCAGATTAACTGGTAGTGCAGTATACCATGAGATGAACCTTTATTGATCCCTCTGGAAGAAATTCAAATTTGACACAGCAGCACAAAAGCAAAGCAGATCTGATAGGAAATAAAATCAGAATAGAAACAGAATCTAAAATAAATAAGATAAAGTAGAAATGCTACTGCTGCTATACAATGAAAATATACAATGCAAAGCACTCTGTTCTGTACATGTGCAATAGCATTTAAGATGAACATGCAACACTTTAAATAGGTGGTTTGTAAAACACTATAACGTCATTTTTTTATGAATGTAAAACTACAGACAAGTAAACAACATACAGAGTCCGAGGAGGAAAGTTTTCAATAAAGACTGATTCAGTAACTGAAGCTTTTCCAGTGTTTTATTAAACACATAAAAGAATCAAACTGTTTGAACTGAAGTTACTCAAGTTAAAGAAAGTGAAGAACGTGCCGCTGAGTGTTTCCTGTCCTGCAGGGAGTTCCTGGGTCAGGGCTGGATGAAGGTCGACAAAACGGAGAGGACGCCGTACATCATGAAGACGAGCCAGCACTTCAACGACGTGAGGCTGAAACCTTTTATTTTGAAATTCTGTGGTTGTGTCAGGTCACTGTGGGGCAGCTACAAGATCGTAAAGCTGAATCAACATCTCTTTAAAACCGTTTCCACCCAAACTACATTTAAGCAGGTGTACCTAATAAACTGGTAAGTTAGTTATTTGTTCTCCCCACAGATGAGTAACCTGGTGGCGTCTCAGATCATGACCCATACTGACGTGGGCTCCCGGGCCAGCTCCATAGAGAAGTGGCTGGCGGTGGCCGACATCTGTCGCTGCCTCAACAACTACAACGGCGTGCTGGAGATCACCTCCGCGCTCAACCGCAGTGCCATCTACAGGCTGAAGAAGACCTGGGCCAAAGTCTGCAAACAGGTGGGAGTCCCTTCTTTATGAACACAGTTTAATCGAGCAACAAGACTGTTTATAAATGTGTTTGTTTTCCAGACCAAGGCGCTGATGGACCGGCTGCAGAAGACGGTGTCATCAGAGGGGAGGTTCAAGAATCTCAGAGAGACGCTGAAAAAGTAAATAACTGCTTCTCCTCAGAGGAAAGAGGGACACGTGTAGATCCAGACTTTACAGGAGGTCTGATATTTACCCTGTGTGTGTGTGTGTGTGTGTGTGTGTGTGTGTGTGTGTGTGTGTGTGTGTGTGTGTGTGTGTGTGTGTGTGTAGCTGTAACCCTCCGTGTGTGCCGTACCTGGGCATGTACCTCACCGACCTGGCTTTCATTGAGGAGGGGACGCCCAACTTCACAGAGGAGGGCCTGGTTAACTTCTCCAAGATGAGGATGGTAAAGATGCACTGTTTATAATCCTCGTGAAGATCGAACTGACTGATTGATCAGTGATTATTGAATCAAAGCTCAGAAACCATCAGCGTCAGCCTTTGGATTCCTGCGAATGTTTAACCAGTTTATTTTACGGGATCTTTGTTTTAAAACGAGTCGAGCTGGAACATTAAAAAGTCATTCAGAGATTTTAATTTTCAATCAACTCAGTGGAGATAACGTTAGCTTCATTAGCCTGCAAGCTATAGCTGCAAAATGAATGGTCGTCAACAAGAAGCTGCTTTTGTAGAAATGAAATCTATGATCCATTGTTTCAAAATTTGTTTTTTATACATGTTTGATATTTACACCTGACACTGGCGACCAATGAGGTACAGGTAGATAAACAGCCTCACCTGAAGTTAGCAGGTTTTCTACTTTGCAGTTGATTAGTTGCAAAAAATACTACGAGCGAGGAACAGTGAAGTTGTAGCGTTAAAATGGGAATTTAACTCAGTTTTTCCCATCCAGACTATAACACAACCCTGGATTTTCAAAATAAAATCTGGCGTTTGAAAACTTCCAGAGTAGTGTGGGTGGGAGGTGTGGAGGGTGTGCCACTGGTTACTGAGCAGTGGCTGGTGTGTTGACTAGCCGGAGACTAAAAAGAAGCAGGTGTAACCTGGTGAAAACGCTCTTTACGTGTCGTTTTGTTCGGGCTTTGTAGGTTTGAATCGTCAGGTTTGTCCTGAACTCACGTCGCCTCTGCTTTCTCAGATTTCTCACATCATCCGGGAGATTCGTCAGTTCCAGCAAGCACCTTACAGGATAGAGCACCAACCCAAGGTGAGTCTGATAAATCCACCGTCTTCACTGTTCAGTCATTCCTGCAATATGAAGTGAGCAGATTTAACTGTGTCCATCCTGCCTGCCCTCAGGTGACTCAGTTCCTCCTGGATAAGACACTAGTGATGGATGAAGACACCCTGTACGAGCTGTCACTGAAGATCGAACCCCGAGTACCACCTGGATAATTATACCTTCACCTCACACACAAACATGATATTTCATCATAAGTTTCACCGTGTAAAAAACAGGCAGACAGTGACTGAAGGAAACGGGAGGTTCGTTCTTAGTAAAAGCAGGAGTGGTTACACGAAACACCGCCGTGGTTGTGCTTCGGAAACTCAGGAGAAAATGTGCCTTGTTGTATGAATATGTGATGTATATATATGTAGTAAACAGAACGGACTGTAACATACACAACTATCTTTGCCATACAAACCGCAACTGTGGAAACATCTGTGTTAGCTGCTCAACACTAGACGGGAACCAGTTGCTGCTATCACACTGTAAATACCAAACAACTGCCTCTGTAGTCTTGCACATAAACACCGTCAGATGAGTTTTGTATTATTTGTAACGTCATGGCCACATTAACCTGCTTTGTGGGTCAAAACTGAGCCGCCGGGCGCCGATTAACCCCTGCCCCTCACCCCCCCCTGCATTGTGGGCAGTTTCTGGATGCTGGGATATTACAAGGCCCCTTCAATTTACAAGGATGCATCATGTGAGCACAGTATCTCCACAGGACGTATGAAGAAAACATGCAGGTTAAAGCAGGAATAATTAGTATTTTTAAAGCTGAGGAGTAGAACAATCTGTAAACACAACACTGACATATTATCATCTTATAAAGTTTATCTGGAGCTTTATTTGTGTTGAACCTGATGAACGTCTCTCCCTTTAACTCAGTTTTTGTCCCCAACAATTGAAAAACATCTGGATCTTTAGCAGCCAAATTTTCCGTTATGTTCCACAGCTGTAAAAACAAAACAAAGAGCTGAAAGACGCTAAAATGTTCTGCAGGGAAAACTGAGGAGTCGGGTATTAACACATTGATCGGTGCAGCTTTTATGCCGTTTACGTGTCCTCTAATCGAACAGATCAAGAGAAGGGAACATGATCTTCTCTGTTTTGCACTCACTGGCATCTTTACACATAATGTGTCAGTGTTGTGTTCACAGTGTTTTCTGCTGCCCCCTGGTGGCTCCAAACCAGATACTGCTGCTTTAAAATGCTTCACACTGGACTTGATATCTTGATATCTGGAGAAAAATCACTGTCTTGGCCTGAATATCAGACAGCACTGATTATTAGCTCATAATCATTGAGTCATTTCTTTGATCCCAAACAAAACTGCAACAAAATGAAATGACCTTAAAACAACTGCCACACATTGAACCGGGGTATTTTTTTGGGGGGGGGGTCCTGGGAGTCTGTGTTCCCGGGTGAGTTGGCAGGTCGGTAATCCGGCCTTTTGTGTGATACATACGTGTGTGGAGAGACACTGGAAGCACAGTTCACATATTTAATCCACCTTAATACTCACTGACTCGTCTGTGGTCACAGTCGCAGGAGATGTAGACTTCACTTCAACGTTTTTATATCTTTACTCATCTGTCACCGCCGGAGGTTTATGTTGTCGCTTTTGCATGTTACAGCGAAAATCTTTGTATCTGACAAACATTCCAGCTCTAAAAACAGACTTTACAGATCTGAGATATTGTTACGTATCTTGACAATCAGAAGCACGTTTGCTACAAATCTTCACGTCCTTTCAGTTTTGTAATATCAGTCATTTTGTACACAAAGGTTTCTGATTTTGAAAAGTCGTCATATCTGCTCTTTTTTTTTTTTTTTTTTAAAGAATCGGCCTGAAAAGTTTCTTACATGCAACAAAATCCAACAGTCAAACTTCTTTTCCATGAATCACTGTTATTATTATTATTAGTTCATTGTCCATGTGATCATTTAATCATATTTTAAATATTTTAAACCTTGTTGTATTAGTACAATAGTAATATGTTTGCACTATTCATTTATAAAGAAAGTCAGTAGACTCTAAACTTGTTTATAGCATGAATATAGCATGATCCCCCCTCTGTCCTCCAGACGACTCTTATCCTGGTAGGTGACTGTTGCTGAGTTTCATTAGGTTTTTTCATTTATTTTGGCCCGTTCCTCATGTCAGGAAGCTTTTAACGCTTTAATGCATTAGTGTTTAAGACCTTTACTTTCTTACATTGCTGTATTATTTTGAAATTCAAGGTTTGCTGTTGTATTTTTCCATCATTTCTCTGTGTAATGTAGAGACTGACACACTCCAGGCTTCAAAATAAAAGCAAAAACGTGAATTATAATGTAGTTGGAAGTTGTTGTTATAACAGATGATGGAAGCTGAAGACAATGTCTGAAACAGTTTAACAACACGGGAAAAGTGCTGCAAACTCAGACAATCAAATTCAGAAAACGCAACCAAATACCAGAAAATACAATCAAACAAAATACAACCAAACACAGAACAAAATGGAGCCAAATTACAAAGAAGCTTCCAAGTGACACTAAAAATTTATGAACACACTCGCACGTTTGAGGCTCATGGAGTCGGTTGCTGATTTATGGTGTTGGAAGAAGATGAGCTAATAATGAATATGTCGGCTAATGATGCCAAATGATAGTTGATTGATAAATAGCTGTAATAATGTCTGAATCATCTGAACTCCAGTAACTCCATGAGCCACAAACCAGGGCAAACGCTGGTGTGTTCATGAGTTTTTCTGTCGCCTGGAAACTTATTTTGTTCGTAATTCAGGTCTGTTTTCTGTGTTTGGTTGAGAAGAGCTCTCAGGGTCAAGGACTGTAAGAGTCAGAGTAGTAGGAGGAGATCATGTGTGAGTGTGTGAGTGGCTGCAGTTGAAATATCAAGGTCAAACTGGACGGTGATATCGGACCCTCTGTCCTCATGGCTCCACATGAGCGGGCTGTACTGATGTAGCTCATGTCAGCTGCCCTCTATTGGTTTATAACGGTGTGTTTCTGAACTTATGATTGGTCTCTGGTTTTTAATCCCGCATGAGGGGGTGGAGCCCCCGGTGAGAGGAGAGTGAAAAGCTCTTTAACCAGAGACTTTCAGCAGAGCAGCTTCTCTACAGGTACTGTACCTTTTCTTTTTTTTCCTCTTGCAGAAACCCTTCATTAGCTTCCATTTCCTACAAATACATCTCAAAGTGTCTGTAAAATCATTTGTAGAGCATGTGTCAAAGACAATAGAACTTATATTGATCAGTTTTATGCTTCTGTTTGCATGTTTTTGACATATCGTTAATCTGAGGGGGTTAATCAGGGAGCGCATTCTTTAAAAGTTACATGTTTAATGTCAGAGAGGTGGAGCAGAGCTAGAAGCCTGTGATGATGAGTCTATATGGAGCTGAACAAAATATAACAAGGCCTAAAGAGGAGTTAGAAATGAAAGAAAGTTCATGCAGTCAAATATTTCTCCAAGCAGGGCGCGTTACATGAAAATGTAAATGTAATGTACATGAATGTTTTAAAACCTGAGGCGGTGTAGACTTGTCTGTGTGTCCTTTGAAGAGGACGAAGCTGGTCTTACGTCCTGCACGTACTCACTCAGAGTTAAAAGGTCACACTGGTCAGGGGAGGGGAGGCTGAGTCTGTGGTGGTTTCGGTGTAATCCTGACCATAAGACCACATGATCCACCGTGTCAATTAGCAGCAGAGGCTTTGCAGCCAGACGACGGTTGCACCATTTAGCCAGGGTCTAAACTTTAACTTATTTATCTAGAAATCATCCTCTTGTACCTAATGGGGTTTTTTTTTTAATCACTATCTCTGTTATTCCATGTTCTTTACCTTCCTCTGTCCCTGTTTCCATCCCTCTGCCCAGCTGACATGTCCTCATGAGGGTCTGGTCTTGTGATCAGTCCAGAATGTCACTGGGTTGTGAGCCAGAGACGGCTTGGGGTCTTGGCAGTGGATCCTGGCAGCACAACTGCCCCCCAGTGATCTATAAATAATATTACCACTGACCTGAAGAGTCTGCAGTCTCTACCCTCTGCAGGGTGAATGGAAAAAAGAATCAGCGGGGGGAAATGTAGTAGATGAAAATCATGTGATTACTGTTACTCCTCAGCTATCAGTTCAGTGTAGGTGTAGTGTAGTTCATGCTGGTCGGCCATGTTTCACCTCTGACCAGGATTAACAGGAGTAATGATGCCTTCACAGCCTCCCTCTATATTAAGACACAGTCTCATGGTCTGTTCCCACTCTGTGAAGGACGAGCTGCAAAATGACCTTCTACTTACAACAGTCATTATTCATTAAACCTAATTAAAGCATTAAATTTAGCATTTTAAATTAATTTTAATGGACTTAACTGGCAACCACATTCTAATTTCTACCTGCATGTGGGAGCTGTCTCATGTCCCACCTGTCCTTTCACCCTGAGTTTAAGACGGATGTCTTCTGTTCATTACTGAAGCATGAGTTGTCAGATGAAACCTGCCCTTCTGTGGGCGGGAGACTATGATAATGCTAAGAGGCTAAGAGCATCTGCCGCGCCCCCCGCCCTCTCTAATCTCGTTACTGTATTGAACAAAAACCTGCGGGGGGATCATCGAAGCAGCAGGTTTGACTTGCTGTATATTCACAGAGACTTGAGCCGAGGAACTGAACATTTATATGTGATTTGTTGGGAAAGGCTCTGCTGTTTGAGGAAGATCTAATCCAACCTCAACAATCACATGACATGAATCAGTAATACGCTGAAACAGTGACGCTGTTGGCGTTAATGCATCTGCAGAGTAAAGACCTGTTCACACCAGAAAGTGGTGCAACAAAATTTTAACTGCATGTCTTTTTCATGTAAAATTTTGTCCTGTAACCTTGGTGATGCAGAAATAATGAGCCGGTCGGGAACATGCTCGTCACTAGCCGGGTTTCCATCGCAGCTTTGCTCAAAATAGAATTTAGAAAACTCGACAAAACACAAATGCGAATGGTCTGCGTTTCCACTGAGTGATGTTATAAAGCGAATAAAGCTTCTCCTCTCGCGACATCGTTCCAATTAAACGTGATAATGGATTTCCAGCAAAAAAAACGTGTCTCCCTTTCAGTTGTGTGAAATATTACTCTGTCTGTTAGTCTGAAAAACCACCTCACGCGAGCGTTTACATTTATTTGCCATATTTGAGATTTATTTTGCAATACACGTGTTTCCATTACTTGTTTTTTTAGTTCGCTGTTTCAAATTGCGCATTAAGCAGGTTAATGGAAACGCACCTACTGTTAGAGATGTTCGTATACCATTTTTTACTTCAAGATACCGCTTCTGATACTTGAACTTGTGCATCTGCTGATACTCGGTACCGATCTGATACCGCTGCGTTAATTGTTTGTTTTTTAACAGCATTATATTGCTAACCCTGTGTGCATATGGTTGTTGTATTGCATGGCCTCAGGTTCAACCCTTTTTTAGATCTTAAATAGATACATGAAGGCCAGAGACTCTTTCTTTTATCATCTAATTTGACTGTTGACATTTTGCTAACAGCTAACATAATGCTATTTACCAGAAATCAATTCTTCTTTGCTGCTCTAATTCAGCAGTTGGGAGTGGCTGCACAGCACAACTTCCTGTGTAGGGTTACAGTTTGAGAGCAGTGAAGAAGACTTGATTTGGTCCAAACCAGTGCGTAGAAAGAATTTCAAACAGACATGTCTGATACTAGTAATAACAACTCCAGTCACTATAACTTTCTTTAAATATAGACTAAGTATACGACTAAGTATAAGACTATAACTAAGTTTTGTCTGCACCTCCCACGGCCGCCATTTTGTTATCAGGATTGTTATTGAAGAAGCGGGGAAATGCTCTCCTAGCTTGCTTGCTACAGCTATCGGTTAGCATGCTAGTTTTGTCATTGTAATAGGACAAAAAGTTCACACCGTTTATTAAAAAGTGTTTGTACCAACGACTTCTGTCGTCACATTAAACTTTCCTCCTTTGTGGAGCAGTTTTTACCCCCACAGAGGGGTTAAATAAAATTGGACGGTACGAAGTAGCTAATAAGCTACATTAGCTTTCCCCTTTGTTAATCTTTCTAGGTCTACGTTCCCTCAAAGGTTAGCATTGTCAGGACAGCTGGTCATTGGTCAACGGCACAGATTTGCGTTCACCAATAAATTGAACTTGATGTGAAACTTGATTCCATTGAAGTAAATAAAATTTTCTGTGAAGTTTTGCTGCTTTAAATGCTGCTGTTTCATGGCCACGGTAGTGAGAGGTGTCACGTTACCATGGCAATGCTAGAACGAGACAGATTAGGTACGACCAATGATTGTGAAGCGTTCGTTGTTCTGTATCATATTTCATACACACGTCTATGAATCTCAGCAGCTTGGATAAAACTGTCTCTTCTGTTATTCTTTGTTTTTTTCCTCCAGCTCTTTTACTTCCGACACAGAGTTACGCAACGAGCGGAAAAGATGGCGAGCTCTTTCACACGTCTGATCTCTGGCCGCAACAAGGCTGTGCTGTTGGCCAGCTTGGGCGCGGGAACGATGGCGACCGGCTTCTTGTTGAGCGACAGCTCCCTGGCTGCTGAGGCCAAGAAGAAGCTTTATCCCCCCAGGTAAGACGGGCTCATGAGGAATCAGGTGAAGATGAGGAGTGTGTGTTCACTGTAAGATCAGTGGATGGATGACCTTGATGAGTCAGTGAATAGTCTATAATTATAGTCTATAATTATCCGCCTGGACAACACAGGAAGTGACTACGTGCTTCACATCACTGGCACATTTCAGAACAATGACTCATTGTTTTGTGACACAAGCAGAAATACTTGGAGTGTTTCTGAACTCATTCAAGAGTTTAAACGTGAAAGCGTCCCATAAAAACACATGCTGAGGGTCGGTGTGAGCGTGTGGCTATCTTCAACACACTGAGTGAATATCTGACGGTATGAAGAGGTCACAGCGCAGCTCTGGCAGCGTCCTGCAGTATCACTCCCGCTCTCAGGTTTCAGCTGCGTTACCTTTGACTCACTCTCTCTCTCTCTCTCTCTCTCTCTCTCTCTCTCTCTCCCGCTCACTCACAACCTTTCTCTGTCCTCAACATCCCCAGGTTCACTCCAGGTCATCTGTCATCTACATAGCTTGATTAGTCGCACACACTTGTGAGAAATTTGCACCAGGGAAGTAGGATATCAACTATGATGACCGGGCGCCCGTCCTCCATCTTGTGGCCCTGGTGTTGTAGAGGAAGCCTGTGTCAAAACCTTGTTTGCAGACCTCAGTGGTTTTAGTTTTAAGTTGTGTTTTATCATATCGCATCGATTGTTTGTCTGTCGGTAACACACAGAAAACCTCAGGCAATGTCGTATTATTCCATCACAGAATTACAAACTGATTATTTTTATTTTCAATTGGTCTGGCAATTATTTTCTTCAATAACTGTTTGATTGTTTAGTTTATAAAATGTCAGGAAATAGTGGGAAAATGCTCATCTTCGTTCCCTGAATCGACATATTCAAATAGTTTTTGTCATCCGACCAACAGTTGAAAAGCCAAAACGTTGAGTTTAATGTCACAGGAAACTAAGAAAACTAGCAAATATTCACATTTAAAAAGCTGGTACCAGTGATTATTTGGTATTTGTACTTAAAACTAAGACGGGTAATCAATCATCAAAACTGTTGCCAATTGAATTTTCTGTCAATCGTTGGCCATATCAACTTTGTAATATGTCGGTGTCCTCTCCACAGCTTCTAGTCTTGCTTGTAGGTGCGCCATTAAATTAATCAATGCAGCTTTAAATCACAAAAATCAAGACCTGACCTGCTGTGGACTCGACTGCTGTGAGTCCAAACTCGACTCAAAAGTCAAAACATTCAAGTATCAAGTTTTGACCTGGTGAAATTCAAGACAGATAAAAATAAGACATATGTTTATGGAAAGTATGTGGCTATGCGAAGCTCACTGGACGATAAGGCCTTTATAGTAATGCGTTATTAGTCATGAAGACTCGTCTTGTTTGACTTGAGACTCTGATTTACTGCTGAACGCTTGCTAACTGAATGTTTGGCTTTGAGTCAAGTCAGAGTTTTTAAGGTGTCGAGTCTCAAGGCCGCTGAATCCAAGTCAAATCTCAAGTCTTAATATGTGTGACGTAAATCTGGAGAACCACGTTGTCTCCACTAGTTGGCAGTGTGAGCGGGATCATTAGACGTTCGACTCTATGAAGAAATCTTCCCACTTCTTCTTCTCCTGCAGCTCTGACTTCCCTGACCTGAGGAAACACAACAACTGCATGGCCGCGGCTCTGACTCCGGCCATTTACGCCAAACTGAGGGACAAGGTGACCCCCAACAACTGGACCCTGGACCAGTGCATCCAAACCGGAGTCGACAACCCCGGACACCCCTTCATCAAGACAGTGGGCTGCGTGGCTGGCGACGAGGAGAGCTACGAGGTGAGAGGGGTCAAAGGTCACGGATGTTACGGTGTGACATCAAATCTACAGCCCTGACGTTGTTCTCTGTTCCCTGCAGGTGTTTGGCGAGCTCTTTGACCCCGTCATCAAAGACAGGCACAACGGCTACGACCCCAGAACCATGACACACCCCACTGACCTGGATTCCTCCAAGGTGTTTATACCCTAACACCCCCACCCTCTCCATCATCCCTCCATCCATCCATCCATCCATCCATCCATCCATACTCTCCCTTCACCTGTAAAACATCTCTGTCCTTCCCCTCCTTCCAGCTGACCCACGGCATGTTTGATGAGCATTACGTTCTTTCCTCCCGTGTCCGAACCGGCCGCAGTATCCGCGGGCTGAGCCTCCCCCCGGCCTGTTCGAGGGCCGAGCGCCGTGAGGTGGAGCGGGTGGTGGTGACGGCCCTGGCCGGCCTGAAGGGAGACCTGGCTGGACATTACTACAGCCTGGGAGACATGACGGAGAAGGAGCAGCAGCAGCTCATTGATGTGAGTTTTATCTCGGCTAAAAACACAGAACCAAGAAAATCGTGTCCTGTGGTCTCTGACCTCTTTCACTTCTGGTATGAAAGGAATGTAACCGGGGAATTGAACATTTTCCATTGAAGCTTTACTGCACTGACGTCAGCTACAAACACACTGGCTGCTGCACCTTTCAGTGGATGAAGCAGCTTATTGGTTTATTTTTTTAATAAAGAAAAACCTCTTTAAACTGACCTGAACTGTGTTAAAGTTATAGGTCAATGCTTCCCGCCGTTTTTGGCGTGTGATCAAAGTCAAATCTCAAGTCCTAATTTTTGTGTCTTAAATCTGAAATGAGAAGTTCAAACGAGGAAACATTTTTCCTTCTTAAAACACACCTGAGGAAGTGAAAACATTCAGTATTTCCCAAGAAAAAAAGGAACAACCTTGTTTTTAAATGAAACCTCTTGAAGTTTAACAGCTGAAATTAAAAGACATGATGTATATACAGTTAGTATTTAAGTTGAAAGGACTCATCAACTTGATCTCTTACACAAGGTCGACACCATTCATGACTTATTTTGAATATATTCATATATATTTATATTTTTTTCTGTCGACACTAAACTGTCGGAGTTCCTCTCTCAGAACATGAAAAGACTTTAGGCCGATCCTCTCAGTCTACTGACCTTTCTGCTCTGACCGTTTCACGCTGCGCCACATAAGGATCACTTCCTGTTCGACAAGCCCGTGTCTCCGTTACTCACCTCGGCCTTCATGGCCCGAGACTGGCCCGACTCCAGGGGGATCTGGTAAGGCCAACGCTGCTCAGTGAGGAAAGGAAGTGCAGTCCAGTGCCAACATGTCTGACACCCCCACCCAACCACCCCCACACCCAGTTCCTGTTGTAGAGCCCTGATCTCCTCTCAGTTGGGTGGAGGTTGTAGTTTCTTCCAGTGGTGGAGGAAGCAGTGCACAGCTCCACCCTGAGCCCGTCTCATAATCAGCCACATGACTGAAAACACCTGGGGAGGTGTTCAGGGCCTTTAACCTTTTAATGTCATTTCATAATCTCACCTTGAGTTTTGTGTTTAAATCAAAGTGACTGTAGTTTTCAGATAAATAGATATAATGAAGTAAGAAGTTCAGAGTTTCTCCTCTAAAAGGTTTAAAGTACAAAGAATTAGAAATACTCAATACAAGTATAAGTACCTTAAATTGTACTATACTTGAAATGTACTTTGTTACTTTCTTCACCACATGATAGAAAACTCCTTCTCCTCTTTAACATCCCCCCACCTCTGTTCTCTTCCTCTTCCTCCCTCCCTCCCTCCCTCCCTCCCTCAGGACCACTTCTTGTTTGACAAGCCTGTCTCTCCGTTGTTGACATGTGCCTTTATGGCCAGAGACTGGCCAGACGCCAGGGGCATCTGGTAGGGGTCTCCTCAGCTCTCCTGCATGCTGTGTGACTCTAACCGCCACATAACAATAAAAAAAAAAAAAAACTTTATTTATACAACACTTTTCTTAACAAAGTTACAAAAAGCCTCAGAGAAATAAAAGAGGAATTAAAAACAAGAGAAAAACAAACACGTCACAAAATGGAAGTAAGTAAAATACAGATTGTCCGTATTGTGGGAAAATAAAACATCAACAACAGATCAAACATTCAGAAAAGCTTTATGACAAAATAAAGTTTTAAAAGACATTAAAGATGTGTCCTGTCTGATCTCAGCAGGGCGACTGCTCCACAGTTTGGAGCTCTGACGGAAAAGGTCCGGTCACCTTCAGTCACCAGCAGAGCTCCCACATGCTGATCCACTGCACCATTTATTTCATTATAAATATCCGTCCTTGTTCTGTGGATAGAAACATTCAGATTTTGCTTTTGACGCATGTTGGTGGAAAAAAAAACAATTTTCAGGCGGCTAAACCAACAACAGGAAGTGTGTTTTTGTGTGTGTGTGTGTGTGTGTGTGTGTGTCTGTGTGTGTCATAACACTGTTGCACAAATGAATTCAACACAGACGAGCAGCAGCTTGAATATCAATGTGTCTGCTGACACCAGGTCCTTGGTGACAGCTGAGTCATGTCTGATGATGAGAGCAGTGTTTCACCTGCAGAGCTCTTTATTTAGCTCTTCAGCTGCTTCTCTTCAGGCACAACAACGAGAAGACCTTCCTGATCTGGGTGAACGAGGAGGACCACACCAGAGTCATCTCCATGGAGAAGGGAGGCAACATGAAGAGGGTGTTTGAGAGGTTCTGCAGAGGACTCAAGCAGGTGAAGTGGAGGCTGGGAAATAAACACAAACAGGTCGTTTTGATAGTTAACGTCAGTGGCGTGCAGCCACCGCCACGCGCCATCATCAGGTCAAAATTTAAACTTATTGAATACTTTTTCTGACATTAGCATTTAGCTCAAACCACTGTAGAGTCTTATTAAAGCTACACTGGTGTGTAAAATAAGATCTGAAAAATTCAAATTCGTGTGACGGCTCAACTCTTCATCAACATCCTGTAGGTGGAGCATCTGATCCAGGAGAGAGGCTGGGAGTTCATGTGGAACGAGCGTCTGGGCTACGTCCTCACATGTCCCTCCAACTTGGGCACCGGCCTCAGGGCGGGTGTGCATGTACGCCTGCCAAAGCTCAGCAAGGTAACACACACACACATACACACACACACACACACACACACACACACACATAGTTACAGCGTAACCAGGTTGACAGGAGCAATCTGTCTTCTAGACCACCTAATGTGGATTAATCCGCTGCTGAAAATAGTCCTCAACAAATGCTCTATTTCCTCCTGTTTGTTTAATGAAAACTACACCAGTCTCATCCTTTAGATTTAATCTGAGGAAGATCATGTGATACAGTCAAAAGCTCCTGAATGGACCTTGTGGTGTCAACTACTGTTTCCAAGGTCAAGAATGAAGTTTGAATCTCGACTTCAGCCCAAAACTTTCTTCGGATCCTGATGATAAAATGCTCAAACAACTATCCTGTAATGAAACTAGAGTGAATTTGAATCAATATTAACTTTTGAATTTCTGCTCTTGGAAATCAGTGTTGGTTGTTTTTGTTTTGTTTTTTACTGTGGTTGTTGCACCATGTTACAAATGACTGAAAACGCTCTGCAGGACGCACGTTTCTCCAAGATCCTGGACAACCTGCGGCTGCAGAAGAGAGGCACAGGAGGAGTGGACACCGCCGCCACCGGAGACACCTTCGACATTTCCAACAACGACCGTCTGGGCAAGTCTGAGGTGAGGATCAATCAGTATCGATCAATCATATTTCCTTTAAAGGTCCCATATTGTATAAAGGTCTCTTTCCATGTGTAGTTTGATTATAGATCAGGTCTAGGTTCTATATTAATACTGTGGAAGTATCAGAGACAACAGAGAAATGCACAAAGCCTGTATTCAGAAACTGGAGCCTGTTACACAAAACACCTTGAGTTTTCTACTTAAGAAATTAAGGTTTAATTTCTCCATAGCTGAGGGAAGTATTTAAGGGTGTTGCACAGAATCTCTTCAAATGTTTCCTTAGTGAAGAAAAAACGTGAAAGCATCTGCAGCAGTGACAGAGATTTTACAGCAGTAGAATTCTACTGTTTCCATGGAGATTGTTGATTTGCTGCCATTAGCGCCGGTGATACCCGTTAGCACTTTTGGGAAGCTGGTACCTTTAGTTTTTTTTTCTCTTACCTTAGTCACTAAGGTCTTTTGTTTTACTGATTTACTGATCTATGATGTCACAACAAAGCAGTCACCTCAGCCACACCCCCAAGCCCCACCCACCTGAACCCACCATCCAACACTTACAGGATTTGGTTTCTCTGAGTGTTTTTACCTGAAATCTGCTATATTTTTATTGGATCACTCAGAAAACAGTCAGCCAATCAGAAGAGAGGCTCAGAGCCTCCTCTCTTCTGATTGGCTCACTGACCTGTTGTTACTAGAGCTCCAGAGAGAAGCCTGAGAGAGGAGATGTAAAACTACACTGAGATGGTTTTTGGTTCTTATGATCAACACTTCAAATAAAACACAGAAGAAGAAGAAAATATGGAGCTTTAAAAAATGTTTATTTTGTGGTGTTTGTTTGTTCATGTTAATTAGGAACTCCATTTCATCATTTCCACTTTCAGAGCCAATCAGAGGCCCTGCTTTGCTGCAGAAATGAACTCTGGTGTGTGTATGTGTTTTTAGGTGGAGCTGGTGCAGCTGCTGGTCGACGGAGTCAACTACCTGATTGAGTGTGAGAAGAGGCTGGAGAAGGGCCAGGACATCAAAGTCCCGGCTCCCATCGCTCAGTTCAGGAAGTAAAGAGCTGGACTCATGATGCCGTCAGCGTTGGCAGGAGGTCAGCTCTCTGTTCGCTCGCTCCCTCCCTCCCAAACCGAGCCCGCGGAGAAAACCTCAGAACGACGTCGGTCCGCCGCCACAGAGGAGGCTGCTCCTTTACACCTCCCTCACTAAGATTTCAAATCTTTAGTGTAGCCTAAACTTAGACATGGTCTGCTGTTAGGGGAAAATTCTACCTCAAGTTAAGGTCTTCACTGTAACCCTGACTCCAATAAAGCCGACAGTATCAAACATTTTGACTTTTCTTTACTTCTCATTCATCTCTTATTTCACTCAGACCCTTTCATTTCACATCTGGTACATCTGTTTAACATCTGTTTCTGGTGTTGTCTGTGAAAACCTGGTAACTCTTTATAATACAGCCTGTGATTTACAGTATAGTCTCCTGGTGTGAATCAGGTACCAGGTAAACACTTGCTGGTTCCTACTGGTGCTCAGATAAAGGTGCAGTGGAGGAAAGTTTGTTTGAGTAAAAATTCAGCATTTTAGAAGAAATTTTTATAGAAATAAGTGATACTCCAAGTATTTTGGTAAGTACAGGAAACATTGGAAAAACTGTTTCAAACTTTTTCTTATTGTGTAAATAAAAAGGGGAGAAAAGTCACAAATTATTTTACAGCTGTGTAATGTAAAATTACATGTTGTAGTTTTCACACACACATATAATTATATATATATATATATATATATATTATATATATTACATGGCTAATGTTTAATATTATTATTATTATTATTACAGGTCATTTTAACTGCACAGTAAGAATAAGGTATACAGGCTGAAATATAATGTGTGACTGATTTTCCTTTTTACATTTTAATTACACAATAAGAATAATGAGGTTAATGTCATTTTCCCCAAATTTCAATTTTGCTAGTAAATAGTTTATTTCTCCTTTTCTTTAAATTAAATTAAATTACAGTAAATTATCAATAGGAACCAGTATATGTGTATTTAATTCATAAAATAGAATTACTCTGTAAATCACAAGCTGGAAGTGTTACCAGCCTCTCTGCCACTTTTATTTCTCATTTATGTTATTTAAGTAGTCTATATAATTAATCATTTGATAATCCTTTACTACATTTTTCCAGTTTCCATACTCGTATCTTATAAATGATGTTGTGTTACTGTATTAATGGTGTATACTATATTTCGCAGAGGGGATGAATGAAGGTGTTGTTCAGCTGGAGCGATGACGGGGCTTCACATGATTTTCATAGTGAGCTCTTATGTCTGGAAGCAGCTGCATTTCTGTTTCTCTGCTCTTTTATTCATTTGTTTTTCTTTGTTGTAGCTTATGCAAAGACTCCAGGGGACCCGTAATGTGAAGATAATAAAACAACAGCAACACAGGTTTGTTTAAGCATCCGTCACAAATCTTTATTCTTGAACGAGCCTCTGTCGTCCACCTGCAGCTGGATTTATTGCCTTTATACTGGATGTGCTAGGATTCATCAGCTATCAGGAAATGTTGACCGTCGTCGTGTTTATTGATGAGAGAAGCCGATTAGAGCTGTTGTTTACCTGCAGGTCAAAGGTCATGTCAGCGTCTTGTATATCAGCACGGGTAAAATCAAATAAGAGAGCAGACGAAGAGCAAACCTGCATGTTTTTAATTATTTTAAAGCCAAAAATGTTTGTCTCATTTCCTCTGTGAACAGTGTGTGTTTGAACAAGAGAAGATAAGGTCACAAAATTTAAGAACAAAAGAAATCGATAAGTGCCGCGGAACTTCTGTCCGACATCCAGACATCCAGTAGTTAGGTCATCAAAACAAAAACATCCAATTCCCCACCTGCATGAAAATGAACGCTCACTGACAGTATGCACTTTCCTGGGAGGCCAACAGAGGTGGAAGGATTTTAATTATAAGGGATTTATTTTCCCCAACATCTCAAAATACAAAGACATTTTCAAAGGACACATGAACGTCGTCATAAATTTCTGATAAACTGTGTGTAATTCTGCATCAGTAACAAAAGAGTACAGTGCATCTGGAGGGAAAACAGAAACAAAAAGCTAAATAAAAGAGACAACAGATATAAACAGCAGCATCGGATGCTGAGCAGTTTTAACTTGAAAAACAAAGCTTAAAAATCTGTAAACAGGTCTGCATAAGCTAATGATTAATCTGAGAGAACATTCAACATTTAAGTAAGCAGAACAGCACTTTTCATTATTTTGGACAATTTACTTTCCAGGATGCCACCTCTGACAATTTTCTTATTTTTTTCTAAAAAGAAATCAGTAGAAAGAAGTCATTAACAAACCATAAGGTGACACCTAGAGACCAGAGCCTGCCTATTCACCAAAAAAAAGTCCTGCTTTTCTTTTTTTCCTTTTCTTTTTTTTTTTTGGCAAAGTGAAACAGAAACACAAGCCTCTATTAAGGAGTGGTTGGAGAGTGCTAAAACAATGCAGGTACGCGAGAACAGGGCATCTCTGTGTGGTTTAGAGATAAGAACAGACAGTCAGGGTGAGCTCTTTGAACAGGAAACAGAAAGGAGGCCAACAGTGTCAGTGTTGTGTTGTCAGTCCACAGGTCGCTTTTCACTGTGTTTCTTTGTAAACTCCTCGGCGTTCTTCATGAATTTTGCGCGGTCTTTAGTGTATTCCTCTGCCAGGTCTGCCCTCAGCGGGTGCTCGGGCTGAGGGATGTTCACCAGAGCAATGAGACACTGGATCACTGGAGGAGAGAGACAATGAGAAGGTGTGTGTGATTTAGGCGAACTTCAGATTATCACAAACAGCAGAAACAAGCTGCTGTTCTCAACTGTTCTTTTCCACACCCAGCAGTTACAGTTTCCTCTGAAATCATCTGCATTAGTTTACCTACTTGTTGATGTATTTTCTCTTTGACGGTACAAGAGGAAAAAGGACTAAGGGACGTGTTTGGTAAATGCACCGTAGAGAGCAAACACTGATACTGTATTGTATTCTTAATCGATTAATCTGCCAATTATTTTCTTGATTAATCAACTGGTCTGTCAGAAAATCAGTTTCCCTGAGATAGATAACGTGTCTCTTTTTGTGCAAGAACAGTTCAAAACCTTTTGTGTGACACACGACTCAAAGGAAGAATCCTTTCAGCTCCTGTTACCTCTGTAGGTAATAAGCTAGCTAGCTGGACATGCTAATGTTACACTACCACTCCTGTAGTCTCTGAACTCTCTGTGTAGAGATCCTTCCTGTGGCCTCTGCACGTTTGCTAAACTGGGATTAACCCCTGACAGAAGCTGCTCAGGAGAGGGTGTTTAGTGAACAGTCAATTACAGAATACAAATATACTGCATAGCTTACATGCTAAGAGTTAGCATACTGAAAATTAATTATAACAAAAACGACGTCTGGTGTGTGAGAATCTGGAGGATTGTAACTTTCAGAGAGGAAAGATTAATGAGCTTCTATGACAACCAGCAGTGCACAGACAGCTCAGACCCCCCCCCCCCCCCCCCCCCCCCCCCCCCCCCCCGCCCCGTCTCACCTTGGCAGGTCCTTGTGGCTGGCTTCCAGTTCTCCACACTGATGATGGGCAGGCAGACCTGACCCTTCTCGTCAATGTTGGGGTGGTAGATTTTCGTCTTGAAGGTGATCTTGGGAGGCTTGAAGGGGTACTCGGCGGGGAAGATGATCTCGATCCGAAACGCTCCTTTGTCATACGGAGCACAATCCTTTGCAGATGGGGAGACAAAACAGTTTTTTTTATTATTAAAAAAAGGAAGAGAAGAGTCTGGGGAAATATCAGAAATGGTAATTTTCCTCTCAGCAGCTGGTGGGGTGTGTTGGTGTCTGTGTTTGATTGACAGCAGCTCTAACATTAGATCCATGAGTCAGTTTAAAACTCAATCTGATTGACTTTTTAGGATCTTAAATGTGAATTTGATTTTTCCATTGGTTTCTGATTTATTCTCAAAGGAGAACACAGGACAAGTAAATAAAAATAAAACATTAAAAAACCCATTTTAGTTGGATTTTAAACAAGTTATTTTAGAACCAGTTCAGGACTCACAGGAACAATGAGGCCTTGCCAGGTCAAGATGTTTGCTTCATCCACTTGAATGTTGCGGAAATGCTTCATCCCAGATTTGCGGATGTCATCAAGCTCCTGGAAAAAAACAAAAAACATACTGGATTTAAAATGTGATAGAATCATGAGATTACTGACACCTCAGTGGAGAATGCACTCTGACCTGTGCAACTGTTCTGCCGTAACATCTACTTTAATGATGCCTATAATATTCCTTTTCTTCACAGATTTAATTCTACTTTTTAGCATCAAGGTCACAGGTGTGGTGTTTCATTTCATTTCACTCAGGTGTTCCTAATATTCTGCTCCCTTTGTGTATGTAAACAGACAGAATGAATTTAGACATTTCTGACGATGCCGACAAAAGCTGAACGTTATCATCTTTGTACAGGTCGATATCGCGGCCGGGATGCCGCATTAGATTGTACAGGTGTACCTAATAAAGTGGCCGCTGCGTGTGAACAATAATGTTAGCGCTTCAGACAGGCAGCAGGGGGAATAAGTGCTGCCAGGTGAGAAGCTTCCAGACGTACAGGAGCTGTGTAATGTGGCCCTGATGGAGTGAATCCAGTCAGACAGTAAACAGTTACATCACTCTCTCCACAGTGAGTCAGATCCACTCTGCTCACCATTTATTCTCCTGCTATAGTTTTCACATGAATACTGCAATGTTGTCTTTGTGTTACATGTTTCACTTTCTGCTCAATAATGTAGAAGTGTTGACGTCCTGTACAACATCTTTACCAACATTAAAACTCTCTAATTAGTACCACAGCTCTGCTATGATGCTTGTGTGGGAGCAACTAATGATTATTTTCATTACTGATTAATCTACAGGTTATTTCCTTCATTAATCAATGAATCATTTCCTTCCATCAGAATTTCCCAGAATCCACGGCGACCAGAGCTGGAGGAGAAAACAAAACAAAACGAAACAACCAACCAGACAAAACAAAACAAAACAATTTTCCAATTAACCCAATTTATCTGAGTGATCCAATATGGATTCTTAAGATCCCAGGATTGATCTTTGCATTTATGCTTTTATCATCGATTACGATAAACGATTATCAAAACAGTTGCCAATTAGCTATTTTGTCTGTCAACAAACAGATTAATCGTTTCAGCTCAACGTGGCTTTACCTGCCCCTTAATCTGTCACAACGCCATGAGCTACTAATCCCAGCCCCAGTTAAAGGCTATTGGGGCATGAATGATCATTACAGTTAAGTCGCAGAGCGAGTAAGCGTTTGACTTTCGGAAAATAAGTAAAACACAACACTCACTGCTGTTACCAGGATATTTCCAGAATCCTTTTAGACTCTTATAACCATGTGAATACATTTTTTTTTTTTTTTTTTTTTAAAACACTCAACAAAAAATTTCTCAAGTTGCGATTCTGTTTCCTGTCCAGGAAATCACATCTGTCTTTGTTCTTCTTGTGTGACATAAGAAAAATATTAAATTGATTAATCGACTGCAGATTTTGTTGCAGTCCTTGTCATTTTTCTGTGGTTTCATAAATTACAGAAGAAAAAATTAAGTTAGTTCTATTTTCCATTGTTTACTGACAGGAAGGAGAAAATCTGTACAAACTGTTCTACTTCCTGTCATTAAACACATCACTGTAACTTATCTGAATAGTAAAACTGGTCTGTCAGGGGAATTCAGGAAGTGATAACAAGATACTTCACTCTTGTTATGACATAGGGGAATTCCTAACAAACCAAATCCTTTTATGACAAAATGAAACTGTAAGTATGAGACTGTAATGGCTGAGCAGCCACACTGAAAGTCATTTACTGAAAGTCATTACACATTGTCATATTTCAGATGTTTATGAGTTGTTAGCAGGTCACTTCCTCCATAAAAAATCTCATATTGCTTCATTTAAACAATCTTTTAGTGGTTTAAAAAGGTTGAACTATCTAATAATCAGTCACAGGGGTGAAATCAGGGAAGAGGTTTTGAAGAATTCCCCAAAAAGTGGCTTGTGTAGTTTATTTGTTATGATGCTTTAATAAACTATTCACATTCTTACACCATGAATCAGAAGGATTTTATTTTTAGTCATGACACTGTTGTTTGTAAACTCACAGTTCCCGTCAGTTTTACCAGAAGGGAAGAATGGATTCCATTAACTATCAGCAACTTCAAGAAAGTGAAAGTGAAATAAAGCCAGCTTCTAAAACAGGACAACAATCCAAAGCAAAGACACTTCAAAATGAATTACTACTACATGAACTACTTCAAGAAACACAAGCTGAAGCTGAGCATCACTGACAATATGTGGGTAGATCTTCAACCTGCTGTGTGAGCAGAACATATCTGAGAACCTGAAGTGATCTGCAGGAAGGATCGGATTACTTTTTCTTTCTTTGTGAAATAGAAACTAACACTGCATTAATATTTTGAATATTTTTGAATGTCTAATGACTGTAGGGTTTGTATTTACTTATTTTCACTTAAAAAAAAATAAATTAAATATGTAATCTGCCCAAACTTTACAACACGATTGTAGGTATTTTTCAAAGTCTTATGACATTTCATTGAGTATACAATTGCAAAATAAATCAACTGATTATTGAATCAATAATGAAAATAACAGTTTGCAACCCTGATTTTTAGTTTAAACAATATACTGTAAAAGAGCAAATCCTCACATTGGAGAAGCTGAAATCAGAAAATATTTGACATTGCTTGCCTCAAAAATGACAAAAAGTAACAATTAATTTTCTGCCGATCGATTAATTGACTAACTGTTGCCATAGTAGTTGTTTTTTTTATAAGATAAATCTGCCAGCTGAGGTCTAACGTCACGCCCCAACCCCAAAGTCTCCATGTTTTTGATACAGCTGCTGCCTTCAGACGGTGACAGCACGTAACACAAGCTCACACACTTCCCACTGACACACAGTGTAATCAGCTCCCGCTTCACACACAGACATGTTGTAGGACTTGGTGCTGTATTTGACAGTTTTGTGTTAGTGCTGAATCACGCCCCGCCGGCGGCTCAAACTAACTAACTAGTTACCTCTCAGTCACCGTCTGTCGGACGTCATTATCCTTTCATTTTGTCGGACACACGAACGACAAACACTTGGACGGTTTCTCGTGGTCCACGGGTCTGTAGCTACACGCACACAGCCGATACAAGTTATTTAAACCCTCTCAAAGTGGAATAAATGGATTAATTTGGGATTTTTTACCTTGCCTAGTCTCCTGGTCGAAGTCATTGTGGAACCGATCTCGTCTTCTTCTTCTTCCTGTTTCTTTCCGTTTCTCCTCGACTTCTTTTGATGTTGTTTTTAAATGGCTGACAGCCGGCGTCCTGGCGCACTACCGCCACCCATCGGTCTGGAGTGACATTGTCAGACTCACAATTACAAGGGGAAAGGGTTTGAGTTGGTTTATATGCACCGGTAGCAGAAGATCCATTACATTTAATTAAAATTCACAAAAAACAAACCTGTTTACCTAAAATAAGAGACCATTCAACCTCGTGTTTTTCAAATGCATTTGTATTTTTGTGCTTACAGCATAAAAAATGTCAGTTTCTATGATTTCTACTCAGTGAAATGAACTGATATCTTTGAATTAATTAGGAATATGAAGAGCTACCATACACAAACCCTCACATGGATCAAATAAATAAAATGGAATGTCAGAAAAATTGTTTAATAATAATAATAATTATAATAATAGTTTTCAAAATAGGTTATATCTACTAATTACTGTACCTTAGAATAACCATGATGAACTTGTGCCCTGACTCAAACACTAGTATTCTCTGCTGCCCTCTAGTGTTGTGTTTATTACCTGTGTTTATTTATATATTGATCTTCCACACACACAGAGGTACTGGGGTAATGAAAAGGGCAATGGTGGAAAAAGTATTCAGATCACTTACTTAAGTAAAGTACAACTTATTATTGTAAAAATACTCCACATGCATTCAAAATCCTATTTAAGTAAAATAACATAAGTATTATGAGCAAAATGCACTGGTGCTTAAAGAATTGAAAGTAAAAAGGAGCTTATTCTGTAGAAAAAGGACCTCTGTGACTGATATATTATTTATCAGTATGTTTGCAGCATTTTACTGTTAACTACTGGAGCTGGAGATAGTTTTAACTATAATGTACAGTCAGGTAGTTTAGTCCACTGGGTCACAAGATAAAAAAAAAGTCTTAATAAGTATTGACTTTTACACATTCCATTACTGTTTAGTTTTATTATTTATGTTGATAATATAAAAAGTAATAGTGCATTTACATTTGAAAAAAGGCTCAATCTTAATGTCTTTTTTCTGCAGGGGTTTTATTTACTTCTTTTCACCTCAAAAACCAACAAAATATGTACTTTTTGGAAAAACTTCAGAATGAAAACAACTGTAACTGGATATTCATGTCTATCAATATAATATGAGAAACACCGAAAGAGAAGTCAGTGGGTAATAAAGTGGGTAATGAACATAAAAATAGAATAATTAGCATCACTTTTCTGAACTTTAATCCTGACTATCTGCCGTTTTTGTGTGCAGAATAATTACATGACAAACGGTCTGAGCACAGCCCGTGACCTCCCCGACAGCCCAGCTCAAGATGGCCGTTTGAGTCTCCAGTAAAACTAATCCAAGAGCTAGCTTCCCCGGCAACTTTAACTGTCTTCTTGGAGAATGAGACGACGATACCGGCCACGTTTGTTCCTGTTTTGAAACGGAAGATGAACGTTGTTGTTGAAGACAACGTCGGGGCTATGGATTAAAAACGGTGCTGGTAAGAGAATCAGAAACAAACCAGGTTAACCCACAGTGAGCTAGCTGGGTTAGCCGGGGTTCAATAATAACTAACAGGCTAAGTTTAGCTACACCTGCATCAGGTTTATCACGTTCATACAAGGTGACAAACAACGGGCAGTGTTATTAGTAGTTTGTCGTGTGTAGTGTTTACTATGGTTAAAATGCTAGTTGCTAACGTTGCCTGCTAACGTCAACGGTTTCATTTGTATCATTAGCTTACCGTTGGGCTATCCAGGTTAGTTAGCTTGTTTGCTAATTTAATAAAGGTTTTAAAACGGCACAGAGTGAACAACAATTCACCATCATGCTAAAAAATGTCAGCCAAGCTACCTTTTTGTGATGTGGGTTTTCTTGTGAAATCTGAACATTAAGCAAAACGCTCTTTAAATGGCATTTGAATGTGTTAATTTTATTAATGATACGCAGCTCTGCGTTGATATGATTGCTATCGGGTGTAACGGTGATATCCGTGACCTGTCAGGTTCTGTGACTGCAGTTGTAAACATCTACACTGTATGTTGATAGTTGGTATTCACTATGGTGACCTCATAGTATTTAAATAGGTTCACACATTTCGATAAATGTGACAGCGGAGCTGGTGGTGAGTGATGAAACTGTTACCATAACACCTCACCTCCATATTTAGTCTTCTTTTCCACATTTAGCTCAGTAGCTTTACAGCTTCTTCACTCCTAGAAATACATTTCCAGATCCTACCTGACCTTAACATAAGATTGTTTGGAGTGTAGGGTATGTGATTGAAAATTTCAGTTGAAGCTGTTACTTTATAAAGACCTCTCAGACCTGGTAAATTCAGAAACAGTAGGCAACTACTATGTGCTACATGTTGTAAATCTAGGGAAGCTAAGGCAGTTGTTTTTTTTTCCTGCTTATCTGCAGCCAAGAGGTGTAGGTGTGGGGTATAAGGGGTAGGTCGGATGGAGCCACCAATTAATGAAATAAAAATGTTGATCACAAAGAAAAATAATAAATAAAGTTAGAGAGCTACTTCCTAATTTTGTGTTTACTTCAAATCCATGGATGTGCCTATTTTACTGTGATGGTTAACCGAATGACTTCCTCATTCCCACCCATATTTAGTCTGCATGGTAACCAGCAATGCAGAGAAGCAGGGAGGGCGGTTTCTGAAGTTATTTGCTAAATCTATACATCATCAGCACACAGACTTGTGGAAAAAGCAGGTGTGTCTACAGTCATAGCTGTCTTTAGTGTCCTTTGTGGTGAGGAGTCACTACAGCCTGCTTCCTCTTTTGTTGGGGTCTACATCAGCTGATTTCTGTGTAAAGGCTACAATACTTCCTCCTTCTGCTACTCAGGTATACAGGAACAAAGTGATGCATTAAGTTGTCTGGAGAAACAAGCATTTGTAGGAGGTGTTTTAATTACATTAATTGCAAGAAAACAGTTAGATCAGTCATCTGATTAAAATGCTTTAAAAATATTCTGACATCAGATTTTTTTTAGGCAGTTAATTTTTAGAAAGTATTTGATGTTTGCCAGCAGTTATTTTTAACTATGCTAGCGATTTGCTTTCTTTCAAAATGACCTGTTTTCATTCCCAGTAATATTAATCTGTTCCGATTTTTTAAAGGCATATTTGAGATTTTATTGAAGTTTATTTCGATCCATGGAGCTTAAGTTTAGGAGAGAAGAAGTGAGGCAGAGTTAGAGAGGAGAATTTGGTTTATCATTTCTTATTGTGGGATGATCAGTATCATGCAGAAGTGCTGTATAATGGGGTGCTGCTGTGTTTATTATTGACGCTGAGGTTGAAGCTGAATTTAGTGGGAGTGATAGTTTTATCAGTTTGCACTTCCACACACTTGAAGCACCGTGTGGTTTGTTGTTGTATGAGCTTTGTGTGTTATTGCAGGCACCATGTTGTCCGAGACCCACTGAGCCACAACACCACATTACCATTACACACATCTCTCTTACTGTGAGTCGCTTGTGCAGGTTTCTTCCTTGTGCTGTTGCACAGAGGTTGAGTTCAGGACATCTATGACGTATGTATCACATTGTTCTCCCAGTCATGAGGTGCCATAACATAGATGTTAATATTTCCCTCTGGTCAAAGTTGATTCTCAGTTGTTTTGAGCTTTCTGTAGCTTGCTCAGCCAAAGAGCTGCGGGCCATCTGAAATTAGACAGTGTGTCTCCTGCGCAACATGGAGAAGGAAAGTCATGACATTGCCCCCAGGTGGTAGTGTTCAAGCCTCAGTGGAAAAACCCTCAACTTTTTTTTGAAAACTAAACAAAATTGTGCTGCAGATTATACAGAATTAAACAGTTGTGTCATTTGCAAGTAAAAACCTTAATAATCGAAGTATAAACCATTTTCCCACCAAACAGAAGAAACTTAATTATTTAGTGTTGACATTAATCACTAATACATATGTGTTGAGTGACGATAGGATAAAATCACATGATGCAACACGGTGTGTTTACTGTGAAACTGGTCTGTGTGAGGATAATGGTGATGGACCCTTCTCTACGCAGGTTGTATACTCTATTTAAAGCCAGACAGCTTGTGTTCTTCAAATCGTGTTATTTTGTCAGCTTTTGCATTTCAGAATATTCAGCTAATTATTGAGAATTATGCAGAAGGGCTTGTAGACGTCTGTGCACACTTAGGGATGTTTTGCAAAATGTGAATATCATACTAATATTATTATAAAGACTAGATTTTTTTTCTTGAAAAGAGCAGGGTGATGTATCAGATTCAGTATAGTCGCTATTATCCGACACTTGATAGTGAATGTAGCAGCTAGCGTAATACAATATCATGCTATAGTTTAAAAGTATTTTCCTGGCCTTTCCTGGTTACATAACAGGTAAATAATATCATTTTGTAAGCTTGTACATTTCCAGCTGGGTAACAAGAAAGCCTCACAATTTTGTTTTGCATTAGATAAGTTTGCAGCAGTTATTTTCATTATCGATTAATCTGGCAATAATTGTTTAGTTTAATCTAGTGAAAAAATGCTCATCGCAGCTTTGCAGAGTCAAGGGTGACATCTGTTAATGTGTTGTTTTATTCAACGATTAGTCCAAAACCCAAATATAATCAATTTACAATAGTGTATGACAAAGAAAGGTATTAAATCCTCTCATCAGAGAAGCTGGAATCAGACACTGTTTGGCATTTTTGACAAAATAGTTCATTCTTTCTGTTGACTAATGATTTCATCTCCATCATAAACCTCCTCTATCTGACATCATTGTTTACCTGTATGAGAAAACACAGAGTTTAATGAGCTTTATTATGTTATGTTAAGTCATTGTTATGGACCTCTGTGTCATTGTCAAACTACTCCTTACCTGACATAGTAAATATTTAGACTGTGTTAAGGCGTGGTCGATGTCCCGCAGGCTCTGATCATGAATTCTGATCATGTGGGCGAAAAACGAAACTGCTGACACAAACTCCTGCTTCAGTAACTAAGCCTGAATGATTGTCGTGGTCACATTCATATATTTGCTGCTTTACTGTTGCTATATTTTGTCATGTTTGACTTTGTGTTGTTGTTTGCATTAACCCTTAGAGCTGTTACGCTTTGCTACATGTGAGTAAACGAGAAAGTCACAGTGAGTTAATGTATCAACAGCTGACCTAGATTCTTGCTCTTCAAGAGAATATTTACAGTACCGCCTTAAAGAGCAAAGATATGAGTCTGTAAGTTCATGGTGTTTGACATTTTACTTTCTTTTTCCAGTATTACAACATGTCTTTTTTTTTTTCTTTCTAGGAATTGAAGGGGATTGAAGGCCCTTTTGTTTTAGCCCAGCATGGACAGCTTCTTCAAGGCAGCTGTATGTGATCTAGACAAACTGCTCGATGACTTCGAGCTGAATACAGGTAACCAACCAATGACAGTGATTATTTTTGTTAATGTTTAATCTGTTTATTGTGTTTACAATGTAATTGATTTGTCTGATCAATATGTTTAATATCAAATCTTCTGTTTTGTCCAACCAACAATTCAAAAACCAGAGAGATGAGACTTTATTGATCCTCAAGGGCAAATTCACATGATAGCAGGATTTGCAGATGAGGGAATGTGGGAATGGTAAACTCTGGACATCTAAAAACTGACTTGCACGATTATTATAAAAATAGTTGATATTTTTTGTCAAACAAGCCCTCGGTCATAAATTGTCTATTTGTTTCAGCTCAATAAGATAATTACGCTTTATGCATTTTTCTAAATCTTGTAAAATGGGTTGAAAAAGAAATAAAAATCTGGAAGTTGTGTTAATCTGGTAAAAGCAGAACTATAGTTTGATCATAGTTTATGATCTTTGTGAATCTGAATTTAATTCATTTTTTAAACTCATCAGTTTTTTTCTTGCTTACAGAGGAACTTGATTCCACGTCTGTTTTCCTGAAGCCCTCTGTGTACCCCTTCTCCTCCCTGGGCTCTCAGTGTTTGTCCTCAGAGGCGTCCACTGTTCCTCCAAGCCTCCCTGACCTCAACTCTCTTCACTATGGTTCTGCCACTAGCTGCCCCGACCGCTCCGGCAGTCACAACCGCAGCACCGATGACCGAGAGGTCAAAGGTCAGCCTCTCACCGGAGTGGACCTTCTCTCCTCTGTGGATCGCGGACCAGCCAAAAGCTCTGCCCCCCCCTGCCCCGACCGAGCTCTGAAGCCGGTCTGTGACCTTGTGAATGACACGAGCTCGGCCATCCTGGTCAGGGCCAACAGCCATGACGCTTTCAGCGAGCTGGATGTGGTGGAGAAGCAAATGCAGGAGGAGGAGGCGCTGCTTGTGGACTTTGACAGCCCCGTGGTCACGGAGCAGCAAGGGGGGGTTGGTCAAAGCCAAAGCGTTGGCTGTAGAGACACTAAGGAAGAGCAAGCGTCTGCAGGGAAAGACGAGCTGCTGAGTCTTGACTCCCATGAGCAGGCCGCTGGATATTCTGCATCACTCAGTCTGCTGGACGTCATTCTCCCTGCAGCGGTGGAGAGGGGCTGTGAGTCTACAGATGATTCACCGTCACAGAGGACCACTGACTCAGCTGACGGAGAGCAGAGGGACTGTGAGGAAGTGGCCTGTACAAACCAAGTGGTGGAGAACTCTTTAGGCCTCTGTGAACCAGAGGACGCTGAGAGCATTAAAGAAGCAACAATAACAACAACAACAACAACCTCAGTGAATAAAGAGGACGAGTCACAAGAAGCCTCAGATAAAGGTGAGGCAGAGTCTCCTGCAGGTGAGCCAGTGGGCTTATCGTGCCTGCCCATAGCTGTGTCCATGTGTGGAGCTCTGGTGAAACCAAAGACCACAGGAGATGAGTCGAGACAAGCTTCAGATCAGTGTGATGAGGCAGACGTGTCCGAGAACACAGAGGCAGACTCCCTGTCGGCGCTGGAGGGCAGGGAGGAGAGATCCTGTTTGAGGGAACCTGTGTCTATGTCCCAGCAGGTCGCAGAGGACAGGCCGTCACCAGAGGGGCAGCACGTCTCTCTTGAACCTGCCTCTGCCGTCCCTTTTGTGGACCAGACCTCCAATGATCAATCAGAACCCAGTCCAGTTGATCCTCCTGAGTTTGGCTTCGATTATCTGCCTGAGAGCGACCAGGCTGAGCTGCTGGTTACTGACGAAGAGTTAGATGCATTCCTGCAGGCGCACACTGAAGCAGAGCAGGGCAGAGGCGTCTCTGACTGCAGCGTTTCTGGAGATTGCACGCAACCTGAAAGTCTCTCTGAATCAAATGGGGATCTAGAGGACAGGCTTGTGGAAGAGGAACTGAGAAGCTGTGGTCGGGGTAGACGGGAAGAGCTGGAGGGTCTGGCTTCTCCAGAAAGTGACAGAACAATGACTGTGTGTGTGGAAGGAAGTTTTAACCCTGGTGCTCCATCACAATCACAGGACTCTTGCGGACCTTGCCAAGAGGAGCCACAGCTCTCCTCTGGTGTCAGCCATTCTCTGACCAGCAGCACTTTCCAGTCCCAGCACAGCAGTAGCCCCGATCAGCAGCCCTCCTATGGAGGCGCAAGACCGAAACAGCTACACTGCCAAACTGCAAGATCTCCGCCGGCAGGGGAAGAAGAAGAAGGAGGACGAGGGGAGCAGCCTCAGGCTCTCGGTGGTTTTTCAAAAGGGCCAAGTTCAGCAGAGGATGGAGAGAGTTCACCCGTAAGCCCAAGTCTTACAGAGGAGCATTCCAACATCAGGGATTCCAGCCCTATATACGCCACTCAGGAGCACCAGGATTACAGTGTGGGGTACGACGAACTCTCAGAACCTCCACCTTACCCTGGGGAGTCACCCACAGAGGGAGCCAGGCCAGTGAACTGGAAGAGAGAGGGAGTGGAGGAGCTGGGGAGCAGGCAGCCCGCCTGGGTGCCGGACTCTGAAGCCCCCAACTGTATGAACTGCTACCAGAGGTTCACTTTCACCAAGAGGCGGCATCACTGTCGAGCCTGTGGGAAGGTATGTTAATCAGCATATACATTTCATTGAATCCATTATTTTGAAAGCCGCTTCCGCTGACATCTCTGGGCAGCTGTGAATTCAGTTCATCTGTGATCCTTCTTCTGTTTTTGTGATGGTTTTCAGAGCCTAAGGGCACATGCTCATATTGCTTGTTTTCTCTGAAAACAATCCAAAAACTAAAGATATTCAGTTTGTTATCCTAGAAGACAAAGATGGCCACCAAACATTAACATTTGAGAAGCTGGAACCAATGTATTTTTGGTATTTTGGCTTCTTTCAATTAATAATTTGTTCTTTAAAACATCAGAAAACAGTGAAAATGCCCATTATGATATGTGAGAGGTGACAGTAATGTGAGACCAGCAAATCCTTGTATTTGAGAAGCTGTAATTAAAGACTTTTTTGGCATTTTTGCTTGAAAAATTACTGAAATTAAACAATTCAATCATTAAAATAGTTGCTGATTAATTTTGTCAATCGACCAATTGATTAATCCTCTGGGTGAAGCATTTGCAGTTGTTTTTAAGAGCCTTCATGTTGTTTATAAAAATGATTTTCCATTATGTGCTTGTTTTACATAATTATTCATTTTTTTCTACTTATTGTAAAGTTTTATAAAAAAAAAATTGGAAAACACTGGAAATTAAAGCGGAAGTTCTTATGAATCGTCCGTTAAATAAAACAGATTACATCCCAGGACCAAATATAGCATGGTGGACTCATGGAAGCAAAGAGCGTGAGTCAGCAGTTCTTTTTCCAGCTCTTCTATAGATCTCCACTGAGCCGTGTGTCCTAAAGCTGGAGCTAAGTCCTTTAAGGGCCAGTGATTAAAAGCAGCATTAGAGAGGACTGTGTAGGATGTGCTATTGTTCACAGCACGACCACAGCTACTTAAACAGCTAGATAGATAAACATGCTTAGATGTACTGTGTATTGTTGTGCCCTTGTTCCTAGGTGTGAAGATTTACTGTCCACGTCTCTTTCATCCTCTCTCCTCTGTGGCAGGTTTACTGTGCCGTGTGCTGCAACAGGAAGTGTAAGCTGAAGTACCTGGAGAAGGAGGCTCGCGTGTGTGTCATCTGCTTTGACAGCATACACCGAGGTAAGGCCCGAGTTTGGTCTGATTCGAGATCTGGCTCAGGCACTGTAGTTTCACTTCCACACATCTCTACTGACACATACTGAAAATACTGACAATACTAGTTCCAAGCTGACACCCAAGTTTGGTTTCGGTATTCTTAAAGGAAAATATCTGAGCATCTCGGTGTGATTGTTGTCTGAGGGGCGTCGTCGTTCAGGAGTTGTTTGATTGCTGATAATCATTTCAACAGACAGTGGTGAAGCTTTACTCTTTTCACTGGAGTTCAGTTCATCAGTCTCAAACTCTTGACAAATAAAACTGTTGTGTATGCTCATAACGTCAGAGGACTGAGATTTAAATATTATAATTTCTTTATGCTAAAAACCTGAGAGTTCACAGGTGATTGGCTGTACGCAATTTTATTTATTTGCCTCCATTGTAGACGTAGAGCATGTCCCTCCTTTTTGTTTTGCTTGCTAATAGAGGATCATGAGTGTGTAAACACAAGTAACAAACAGGTTTCAAAGTGGAGGATCAGGTAGATCAGTAAAGCAAGTGTTTTGTCAGTGTATACAGAAAAGCTTTTTTGTTGGACGCACTAATTGATTGAGAACATGTGTTAAATCAATATACATGACACTTTAAAGCTGCAGTAATCAATATTTTCATATCAACAGTAGATCCAGTGACACTGTGTGAAGTGAAAGCTGTTGAGTCTAAAGAGCCACAGAGATTTACCACCCGCTCCTCAAGAGTATTTTGACATCTTTAAACTCCTTGTTTTGATTTTACAGCCCGCAATTTTACCATTTTGGCTCAGTCTCTCATCAACGTTGTTCCCTGCAGCAGCTGTTTTCCTGCACAAAAAGCTCTGTTAACAACACTGTACACTTCCTGTCCAGCACCATCAAGACAGAAGGTGGACACACTCAAGACTCCAAATTAATGCTAATTAATGTAGCTGTTTGCTAATAGATTTGCTGTAACAACTTTATGAACTGATGATATATCAATGTTGTGTTCAGTGTGGATTCAAAACTCCCAAGTAGCCAAAAGAAATATTATTTTAGCAGCTTTAACATTTTACATTTGTCTAGGTTGTAAAGTTTCTGTATGGTGGTGAATTTAACTCAGTTTAACAGGGTGCTACTAGTTTGAGCTTTTCATTCCCCCTCAGGAAACTTTAAAACTCAAAGGAGGTATTTGTAAGTTTTGCTATTGCTACATAGCTAATGTTAGCATCAACAACTGTTTACTTACCAAGAAACATTGTGAGTTCAGCGTCAAACTTCATTTATTTACTCACCAAGAGCTGTCTCCATCTTTTTTTCCCTTCTATCTCTATCACTTCTTCTCTTCTACTGAAGATAGCATGCGAACCAGCTAACCCTGGTCACTTTCCGATACCGAGTCACTGTAGCGTCCAGTCTGCCGTGAAGATGTAGCTGCTCAGAGGACGTATTATATCCTCGTGTTTAAAATGCAACGATGCCTGAAGCTCTTGGTAAAACTGATAAGTAAACAGCTGTTAATGCTAATGTTAGCTATGTAGCAATAGCAAAACTTACAAATGGCTCCTTTAAAACAGACTGAATTCACTAGTAGCCATTAAAACTTAACGTAACTTCACACAAACATTTCCATTATGCAGCTGATGAATATTTAAGGCACAAAACAAAAAAATGTTCTGTACAAAATGGCTCAGGGGCTTTGTCTCTCATGTCCCTCTGAACATCTGTTAAACATTTAAACAAATGAAGAATTGTCTTTTCACTTCCATAAACAGCATGTTAGTTTAAAAATATGTCAAATAAGATGTCTGTTGTTTTTATTTCTGTGGTTTAAGTCTCTGATGATAAAAGGCAAGAGAGGCACCTTTTTATGGTTAAAGACTGCAGCATGGACATGGAGAGGGAGACGGGAGGGGGGAGATGGATGGAGAGGGCAGGAGGAGAGGGAGGAGAGTTATAGCAGGACACTGGCATTTGTCCTTGATTGTGTGTGTGATACAGGAAACCGCCTAACGCAGTAGACATGTGATGCTCACACTCACGTCTAAATTAAGAAGCTAGAGGTGATCCACTTTTTCGTGGCCGGCGGATGCTCGAGCGGGTGTGATGCGATCCTTCTCTCCTCTCCGTCACCTCCTTCCTTCCTTCCCTCCCTCCCTCCCTCCCTCTCGTCTCTCTGCTCTCCATCTCTCATATCAGTACGTGAGGCGCACCGCACACACCCCAGCTCAAAGCTAACAGGCTATCACGGCTAACAACAGACGTAGACTCATGGAGATAAGCGAGGAGCAGCTTCAGTAGAGCTGTGATGCGAGTGTCTGTAAAGTCAGACTGAGACTTGTGATGATTCGGACTGGTGGAGTTTTAGCAGAGGGGATAATGAGGACAAGGTAAGATGCGATCGACTTGTTAATAAGTAGACGGTTGTTGTTGTTGTGTTGCGACTGTGTTTTGCTGGTTTGTTGTAGTGTTTATACTCAGTGCAGAACATGTGAATCACCGTTTTTACCGTTTTTAAAGAGGAGTATTTGTGTCTTTTAGTGCTTCATGTAAATTGAGGTTATTAATGTATTTTTACTTGTTCTTGAAGTAATTTGCCTCGAGCCCTGGATGACTTTTTGTGCCTTGTCATCCTTTCCTCGCAGAACAAGGTGAAACAGCTCTCCTCACGGCGATGCTGTGTGACTGACGAGACTTTATTTTTCCCCCCATTAACAAGGGTCTGAATTCTCGTAATGTCTTTGCGGTGTGCTTCCTTCCCTCCTGCTGTCGCTGTGCTCCTGTGCTTCTGTAAGCCACATTGTAGTTGTTGTCAGTACACACCAGATCGATAAAGGTCTATGATGCTTAATCAATATAATGCAGACGGGTGCCACATCAGCATTTTATGGGAGTGCAACCGGAAGGCACCGAGAGAGCCTTTCAGTCGTCACCAGCTTTCCTGGAAATAATAACTCATGTCTGTTCTGTTTGCAGTAACTTTCCTTCGTCTGCACTCTTCACTTTTCAACAAGCTTCGACACAGATTTAATTCAAATGTTTAAATGTGTCTATAAGATAATCACGATGCGGCGAATGTGCTGCAATATTATATAGTGTTAGATTTGGGAACGGTTGCTGTTATTGCTTAATGACTGGCAGTTCCCAGTAATCAATACTGTTGTGACCAGTGATCAGTTGTTTCTAAACTGACTGAGCAGATATCTGATCACATGGCACAAACATATCATCCTCGTCATCAGCTGCTTCAGCGACTGTCATAGTTTTCTGTCAGCTCTCCGATACCCACCACCGCCATCACCCACACGATCATACTAACATAAACATAAACAAACTTCTTCACCCGTCTGTCTGTGTTAATTTCTAGTATCAGTGACATCAACGCGTCATCACCTGCTCCCTGTAGACAATGAAAAACAAAAACACTCCACTTTATATCTTATATCTCATCACATCTGTTGTTTAAAGACATATGAAGTTATTTATTTTCAACAGCTTTGTCACATTGACACCAGAGAACTTTTAAAAACAAACAGTTTGTATGGAAGGGGCCTGAGGAATAATATCTAATGGGTCCTGTGTACTGTAGTACTGTTTATACCAGTGTGCTGCATTAAGCTATTTTCACCACTAGAGGGCAGGAAGTAGATTTTATAAGGACCTCACAGCAGCAGGACGTCATATCGGCTGCTACAACAATTTATCAAGTTGTTTACGGCTAACATATTAGCAAACGCTTGCCTAATGTTTTTCATAAACATCTGACAGAAGCAGCATTGTTCATTTGTTTTAGTAAAGAGTTTAGTTTCTCTCCTCAGCAGTTTACACAGTGTGAGACAACAAACCATCATTATTTAATCTGTACACTTAAATTTAAACATGCAGCAAAGATTTATTTAACAACAACTGCTAAAACAGACTAAGAGATGCTAGCAGTGCTGTGAAACTGCTTTTATACACGTGGTGTTTTTAGCTAAATGCTAACATCAGCATGCTAACATGCTCCCAGTTACAGTGCCCACATGCTGATGCTGAGCAGGTAATTTACTGTTAAGTTGTCGGCATGCAAAGGTTTCTTATTAGCACTAAACACAAAGTACAGCTAAGGATGATGGGAATTTTATTTGTTTGGGAGGTGTTCGGTCAAATAACTATTTTGCCCTAATGATGGCGCAAGATGAAACGCATCACTAGAGCCGCTACAGTTCGTCCTGAGTGAATGTGTGAACTAAATGTCGTGCCACCTCTTCCCGTAGTTGTTGAGATATTTCACTAAAACCCATAAACGTCAACCTCTAACCGACACCAGAGGAAAAGTCAGGATCACCGAGATCAGTAGGATACATCATCTGGGAACCATGAATGTCTGCATTGATACACAATTTTGTGCCAATCCATCCAGTAGAGATAATTTACAGGATGAGTGAAAACATTGACCAGCTGGTGGATGAATATCTGCACCAAATTTCCTGGCAATCTATCCAGTAGTTGTTGAGATATTTTGCTAAAAAACAAACAAACAAAAAAACAAAACAATGTGAACCTGAAGCTGGCATTGGAGTAAAAGTCAGAGGCTTCATCATCTGAAGGTCCTTGAACGTCTTCTGACCGATCAGCTGACATGGCCCTCCTGAGATCCGTGCCACCAGCATGGCTCCTAAAAATCAGTCACGTGGAGAGAACCAGCACTGGGACTGATATTTGAGTCAGATTAAAATTAACACACCTCTATCTCCTTGTAGCCCAGGCCCTGGAGCGGATGATGAGTCCTACAGGTCCCAGCCCAAATCCCAACGTCCCATCTGAGTACTGCAGCACCATCCCCCCTTTGCAGCAGGCTCGTGCTGCCGGCACTCTAAACTCACCTCCACCCACCGTCATGGTGCCTGTGTCCGTTCTCAAACACCCAAACAACGACAGTATGATCACTCTTATATACCGTACACAGTCTGTACTTTGTAGTTTAGTTTGTTCTCCTGAGCAGCGCCCTTGAAAAGCACGTCCGCTGTCCGTGTGTTGTCAGGTTGTCCTCGCGAGCAGAAGCGCGTGTGGTTCGCCGATGGCATCCTGCCCAACGGAGAGGTGGCGGACACGACCAAGCTGTCGGTGACGAGCCGCAGGAGCTCCCAGGAGTTCAGCGCCGTCAGTCCAGATCAAACCACAGTAAGACACGGGAGCATCATCCACGCAGCCGAGCTGCAGGGAAACACTAGACTCTCACTTTTTACAACTTGTCCACCAAAGTTTCAATCACTGTTTATCTCTAGCTAGTGACTTTATTTTGAAAGAGTTGGGTCGAGTCAAAGTGGCTTTAATGTGATTATGAACCACAGTGACCGACCCTCTCATTTCAGCCTGGCCCAGCGGGGTCAGAGGTCGGAGTGGGTGGTTCCCCGACCCCCGAGGCCTCTGCAGAGGTGGTTCGACCTCCGGTGTCCGGACCCTGGGATTACGCTCTGCTCTCTGGACTCGGCTCTTCAGTTAAGAGGGTTCCCACTCTGCTGCCAGACAACGAGGATGAGCTCCCTCCTCTGCTCATCACCACGGGCGAGGACGATGCAGGAGGTTTGTGTTCACTTCAGTGTGTTTGCATGATTTCCTTTCAGACACGAACTTTTCTTAATCCTTTAATTTATGAACATTTGTCAGAGCAGGGATAAATAAATAATAAACAGGGGAAAAAAAGAACAAACAGATATGAGGTCATGGGATGATCTGTAAGTCAAGGTGCCTAATTTAAAACAAAATCAGGTGTAACATACAATAATTATGAAAGATCGTTTGTCTCATTGGCTGAATAATAAACCATTTTGGAGAAAGTCATCTGCTCTAGAAGATGCAGATGTTTGACAGTTCTGAGGCCAGATGTTTACCTTTTATCTTAACGTGTTGGCAGGTTTACACATTAGTCTCACGTCTGAATGAAAATCATCCGAGACAATTTTATAGAAACTTATAAGGTCACATGTGAAATTTCTGTAACACTTTGAGCACAGTCTGAATTTAATGCTGTCACATTAAAGTAAAGGCCACAGCACAAAGTTTCATATACACAGACTGTAAATCAGATTCAGAACAGTCTATAAACTCATTTCCCCCTGAAGGTGTGAGACAGAAAACCCTGTACAGCTGTTAATAATCAGTCCAGGTGTCTCCATCTTTATACCTTCAACTTTGATCTGTGCAAAAATGACTAAGTGAACATCCAGCAATAACAAAAGGCATCACCTAAACTGTTGGATGATACCAACAATGTGATTATAGAAAATAACCCGTCATGCCACCTGTCTGCTGTTTCCTGTTTTAGATGTGTTGGTGGAGGAAAGTCCCGCCCCCTGCCAGATCCTGCACCTATTAGAGGAAGGAGGACCCCGACCTCTGACATTTGTTCTGAACGCAAACCTGCTAATCAACGTCAAACTGGTGACATGTGAGTAAAACATGATCTCAGATCCTCAACTCTAGTTTTTCTGTGGATGTGTTTATCAGATAGAAAAGAGAATGACGGGGGATCAACTCTGTGTCTTTGTTTCCTCCGTCAGACGCCGGTCGGCAGTGCTGGTGTTTTGGCTCTAACGGTCTGCAGGCTCTGGGACAGAGGGAGTTGGTGTTTTTGTTGGAGTGTTTGCCGGAAGAAAAAACTCTTCCAAAAGATCTCTTCACTCTCTATCTCACCATTTACCAAGATGCACAGAAAGGTAAGCAGCACCTACTCTCCAGGACTTTTCTTCACCTCGTTAACAGAATGTTTTACTCGTTAAAAAAAAACAAAGACTTCAGAGTCATCACTCTCTGTCACAGGGAAGTTTTTGGAGGAGCTGGACAACGTGACGTTCACAAGCAGCTTCCTGGGCAGTAAGGATCACGCCGGGATGCTGTTCTTCACTCACACCTGTCAGCCTCTAGATGGCCTCACTCTCCCCTCGCAGCCGTTCCTGTTCGGCCTGCTCATCCAGAAGCTGGAGGTTCCCTGGGCCAAAGTCTTTCCCCTCAGGCTGCTTCTACGGCTTGGAGCTGAATACAGTGGTGTGTGTCTGTCTGAGCTTTAATGTTTTTGTCAGATATTTGTCTGAAAGTCTTAAAGCTGAGACGATGAGTTGATTAAGTTATTGTTGTTTGTCTATTTCAGTTTTCATTTTTAAATTTGTTTTGGGGCATGTTATGCAGTATAACTGGATTTTCCAACAACAGCTGTTTATTCCTACGTCTAATCTGAAAATATTTTTTGTAATTGATTAATTGTTTAAGTAATTTTTCATGCTAAAATGCCAAACCTCATTTTATGTGATAATAAACTGAATATCTTTAGGTTTGGACTTTAAGAAATTATTATTGCAAAAAAAATCTATATTTGTTGACATGTCATAAATCAAATGATTGTTAAATTGAGAAAATAATTGTCAGATAATAAAATAATTATTAGTAGCACGCCTAAAAATTATTTTGCCCCAAATTATTTAAAGAGAAACATAATCTGTAAATGCAAATTGCATTTGGTGCTAACTAATGCATGTGGTGATAACTAATTCAATCTTTTCTCTCTTTTACAGTTTATCCCACTACATTGACGAGTGTCCGTTTTCGGGACTCTGTGTATCGAGAGACGGGACACACCATTATGAATTTACTGGCTGTAAGTACGACAACACAAACACATGCAGTAGTCGTAGTACTTTGGTGCAATGGAACCAAATGGAAACAGACTTGTTTTAGTGAATAAAAGAAGAGAAGAAGCGTGTGAAAAACTTCAGATCGACGTGGAGCGATGACGAGGAGGCTGGAATCTCCCTCAGATTAATGCATGTTAGAAATTTCAGATGTTTCCTACGTAGTTTATGTTTGTTTTAAGTTTAACAGCTGCTCTTTTAATGACCTCATCTCATTGTGTCTTCCTCTGCAGTGGTTTAATGGCACCTGACGGACAGAAACGCACATAAATGTTTTACTTTTGCCGACTTTCTGTTAATTCTGGTAAAATTTGCGCAGCATCTGGATGGAAACACGACTGTGGACTTGTGTTCTTTATCTCACTGGCACCACATTTTTTAAAGACTGTTTTAATTAAGTTGCTGAGGAGGTTTTGTCAGCTGTTAATCATTCCCTAGAATAAGGTTATTTCCCAAATGGCACAGAAGACTGTCAAAGTAAAGTTAAATAAGTCTAAATAAGTTTGTCAGTTCATCCCCACTGTGTAATTATAGAGCAGTGCAATTAGAAACACATAAATATTTTTCAAGCTCTACTTCCACTGACAAATTCCAGGCATTTCTCTGGATAATTGGCAGCTATTAGACGAAGATGAGTTTTTGTGCTACGACTATTTCCTATCATTGCCTGGAGGATCAGCATCAGATGCACGTTGTCGTTGTTCTGAGTTTCGTACTTTACAGACGTGATTCAGTGGCTCTGAACTGTTTGCCCACAGGACCTGAGGAACTACCAGTACAGTCTGTCAGTCGTGGAGGGCCTGAGGATCCACATGGAGATGGGCCACAGTTACATCGACATTCCCAAAAGTAGCTTCAACGACGTAAGTGAGCCGTACAGGAATAATTGGGGTAACGTACAGACGTGAGAGCGGCGTCTTATCTTTTCTAACGAGTTTAATGTGCCTGAACAAAAGAGATAAAACAGGATTTTCTCCGTGCTACAGATGCAGAAGGTGGTCAATGCGTCGAACGAGCACGTCATCAGTATCGGAGCAAGTTTCAGCTCGGAGGCCGACTCTCACCTGGTGTGTCTGCAGAACGAGGAGGGAAACTATCAGACCCAGGCCAACAGCATGCCGGGGAAGACCCGCACAGGTGAGAGTCATTACAGACGCTGCTCGCTCCTCCGAGTAACAGTAACAGTAACAACGTTCACATTGTGTTTGTGTTCTGTCGATGGTTAACTGGTCTGTGTTGTGTTCCAGTGACTGGGGCCAGTTTTGTGGTGTTCAACGGAGCGCTGAAAGCCTCCTCGGGCTTCATCGCAAAGTCCAGCATCGTTGAAGGTGACACTGAGTTTAACGTCATCATGTCAAAGCTGTGAATTAAGCTCGAGCACATTAACTTTAGTACTTGACTGCTGTTGGACCAGAATAACGGGACTCTGTCTTTGTCTCTGTCAGATGGGCTGATGATTCAAATCCCTCCAGAGACCATGGAGTCTCTGCGCTCCGCCCTGAGGGAGCAGACAGACTTCCACATCCCCTGCGGCAGGAACGACGGAGGGGACCTCCGAGAAAACGTCACCGTCCGCTGGGTTGACTGGAGTTCACCCGTCAACACGGGGTAACAGCACTCTGTTTACACACTGTTGCGCAATCTGTCCACCGCTGACCGCCGCTACTATCAGGCCGCACACTCACATCCAGCTGTGTAGAGAGTAACTTAGTTCACATGGTCACAGAGCAGGTTTCTCTTCACAAACTGTTTCTCATACTGTTTTTTATTGTTCTTACTTTTTAACATTAAAGTAGCGTGCATATATTTCACATTAAAGGCGTAGTGTATAATCCCTTCCTTACTTGCGTGCTGTTAGGATTTTATTTTGAAACATTTGCAGGAAGCGTTCAGTTTAATTGACTTAATCAAACTTAACGTTGGCGGAAAATGAAACTGCAGAAACGATTAGAATGTGTGAATGAAAACAGTGTTTGTGAACGTGATGGGAGCAGAGAGGTGAGTGTGACGTGACTGATGAAATCACTGGGTGAAAGGACAGAATACTGAACTATTTTCCTTTTTCTTTTTATTGAACGAAAACATGACGCAAGTAACCAGAGGACAAAATAGTAAACAAACCAACACATGATGAGCACAGACACACAACATTACAACATCATCCAGGCCTGACAACATAAATAAGATATTGAAGAATGAAATAAATAACTGAATAAGAACATCTTGTCTTTGTTGACACTAAGTGGACAGGTAGCTCCAGTCGTCCTCAGTGTTTTTACCGTTCTTTATTAGCAAATGGCCTTTATTTATTTAAGAAGGCCAAGACTATTATTGTAATAGCAGCTTTGATTTGAGACTTTACAGAATGTATAATGTGATTTTTGTCACTAACGTTGGTCTGCAGCAGAACGAGTGGTGTTGATGGGAGACCTCTGGATGGCGTCCGCAGTGTCAGGATGCAGCAGGACACAGAGTTCGAGTCGGACGGTCGAACCATCAGTTGCACTGAGGTGAGTTTTCTCTCCCGCCTTTTATTTTATTGTAGATTTTGTATAAAGTTCTGATTACGTAACCGATCATAATGATATGCTGTTCTCTGAAATCATGATCGTATCAACACTTTCATTTTAAAACAATTCACATTCACAAAGTTTAATCTGGATGACTCGATTTTTCACAAACAAAGAACGAGACCGAGGTGTGTGACCTCACCTTAATGCCCCCCCCCCCTCCAGGTGTTCTACCAGCTGAAGAGTCCTGACTGCAGCCTCGCCTCAGTGCTGTCGTCCTGCAGCGTGTTTCAGAAGGAGATGGCGTTGGCCACCTGCAGCGCTCTGAGTCCTCACCTCGCCGTTCTCACGTCCAGCGGCATCAACTCCATCTCTCTCCGCATCTCCACGCAGGCTGATATGGTTTGTGGCGCAGTGTTTAGAGAATCTTCTGTTCAGTTGAAATGAGGAGTGGTGAGTACATCTGTGTGTGTTTGCCCTCAGGTGGAGTACCAGGCCGGCTCCGCGGGCAGACTCCTCCCTCAGCGCTACATGAACGAGCTGGACAGCGCCCTGATCCCCGTCATCCACGGAGGCAGCGCGAGCGTCCCGCAGACGGCCATGGACATGGAGTTCATCTTCTACATCACACACACTATCTAATGCACATGCATCTAAAAAAAGAAAATCCACTTCACCGACGGTGGTTGAGCACAGAGCGAGAAGCTGACGAATGTGGCGGGACGTGCTAATGCAGCAGCTAACGGTCATGCACGGTCACAGAGGACACGTAGCCGCCGGCACAACATTCCCTCTCTGAGGTCGGGGGTGTGAACTGATAGGATGATGACGCGGTGTATGTTTGTGCGTCTCGTGCTCACCAAAGTTGCTTTAATAACAAGAAGCCAAACACTAAACAAGGAACACGACAACACGACCAAATACAACCAGACTCTTCTTAGCGTTTTCCTCGGCTCTGCCTTCCAGGCTCCCCGCCGGCCGCCGCCGGCCCGGAGCACCTCAGTGAATGTTTCCCACGGACACTCTATGGAAATGTCTCTCATGTGGATGTATTTATTATATTTTAATACAGGCTTATTGATTGAAAGACGCGGGACATTACTGACCGCCGTGTTCGGCACTCGAGAGGTGATTGGTGTGATCAGGTGCTACTGTTTAGCCACTTTACATCTGTAGCTGACCCCTTCTAAAAGAAACCACATCTGCTGTCCTCTCTGATCTCACCTCACCTGCTGGTCTGTGATGGTACTGCACCGGAAAACATTGAGCCTCATGCAAGAACCTTTTTCTGTTCTCACCTTAAACGTCTGAGTCCTTCTCCTGAGGTTCATTCAAGCCAGAGAAAAGAGTAAGAACTTCACACTCAGAGTTTTATGTTTCCTGCTGTCGGACATCAGCATGATGAACGGAGCAGTGTCAGCAGCCGTGTCGGGGTTAGAGGATTTAAAAAGAAAAGGTCTATGTTTAAGTCGAGAGGAGGTCAGAGGGACGTGAGGCTCGTGGAGATGAACGACAGACTGATTATACAGCAGGTGATTTTATCTGCTCAATGCAACTGAACTGTAGAAGAGTCTGAGCTAAAAGGTGCCAATAAAAAGAAAAGAAAAATTGGCAGCTGATGATGATGATGGTGATGTGGTCAAAAGAATAGTTTATTTTAGTTGGTATCCGTAGGTTATTTAAACTCTGACATTTATAATTCTGAAGGAAAACTCTGCATTTCCTCTGTAACGTGAACATCGAACATTGAAATCACTCGTACGTGTCGCTTCAGAACAGATCTGTTGGTATGAGAGGTTCTTGCATGAGGCCCAGTGTGTGTCAACAACGGGTCTCGGGTTCAGACATAGTCCTGGTCCTGGACCTCAACCACCGGCTCCTCACCACGAGAGGCTCAGTGTGACCGACGCGTTGGTTCTCGGCCATTCGGAGCTTCCACTTCATCCACAAGTGATTTTGTAAAAACTGAATGTGACTGGTTTGTTTTAGTTTCGAAGGGTTGGATGACGGAGTTAACGTCCTGCTCTGAACTTAAATCAGTTTTAAAAACTAAAGCTTCGTTACCTTTTACGTTCCGACTTATTGACTGAGCAGCCGTTGGTCGATGAGCGGCGGCGCCCTCTGTCAGTGTTGACCAGTGTTCAAGCTCAAATACCAATGATTTTCTTTACTTCAGGAGATTTTACATGTGTTCTTCAGTGTTTCAGTCTCTGTTAAATGATCGAATTTTGCACATTTTCTGGCTGTTAAAGCTTTTTGCAAATCATCTCACACTTTTTTTTTTAATTCTAAAGACTTAAAAATGATATAAAATGCAGCTTTTTAATGGAACATTTTGGGAAATATGATTATTATTCGCTTAGTTACCAAGAGTTTGTGTTTGTACGGTAAATATGAAGCTACAGCCAGGAGGCAGCTTAGCTTAGCTTAGCTTAGCTTAGCATAAAGACTGGAAACAGATGGAAACTGCTAGCCTGGCTCTGTCCAACAATAAAACTCAAAACACAAATTGGTTTGAACAAATTTTTTTTCACCTTTGGAGCCAGGCTAGCAGTTTCCCTTTGTTTTCAGTCTTTACGCTAAGCTAAGCTAACCATCTCTTGGCTGTAGCTTCCTACTTGGGTCACAAACATGAGAGTGGTATCGATTTTCAGGTCCTGATTGGAGCAGGAAGTATTTGACTTCAGATTTCTGGTTTCATGTTTTAGATGTATTCAGGCACTTTAGTACCATTAAAGCAGGAGACAGAGCTGAGGTGTGCAGGTTGTCTCATCCATAAATGTAAAGCTCGATCAGAACTGCCAGTTTCCTCGTAGAAGAGCTGTGGTGACAGGAGGGTGAGATGGTCAGAAGATACGATCATGGAGAGGTTTTCCATCCCTGTAAAAAAAAACAAACAAAAAAAAACAAAACAAAAGATGAAAAAGAACAAGCAACCAGGTTAGCATGCACTGTTTAAGTAGCTTTGTGCTTTGTCCCCATTATCGAAGTCAGGTCTCTGTTTTCACATCTCGTCGCCTTTGTCCCAACATATACATATAAATATAAGATAAACTGTATGCATAGAGATTGTATCAAAGGTTTCTTTTTGTTTTGTTTTTTAAATACTGAAGAGTTATTTTTGGAATCATTGGTATAAAAGTTTTAAAAAGACGGAATATTTTTGATAGGATGTAGGCCACATTCATTTTGCAGTTTGTGTAGCAGGTTCCTTCCTTGAGCACTGAGAGGAAAAAAAAACAAACTATAGACTCTTAAGCAAATCTGATATTAAAACGTTTTGTCATAAAGTGGAAAATATCTAATCCCACAATGCAACATAAAGTTCTTTAGTTTGAGATGAATGTTAAAGTAAAGATGTACAAATTTAAAAAACAAAATAAAAGCTCTAGTTATTTTTACCTTCAGCAGCCAAAACATCCACGACTTAACGCTCAGACTGCTCGTTAAAGAAATCCACAAACTGATTTATCATTTCTCCATATAACACGAGTGAATGTGGCTGTTTTTCTGACTCGTTAAACTCCATGTTTAGTCGTTAAACGGCTCATTTAATGAATTGTTAATTGCGTTGACTGGGTGTAAAATCAAATGTCAAATTTTCTGGAGGGAAAAAAACAACTAATGTTTAATTTAGTGACTAAGTTTTACCTTTATGTACAAGAAAATGTCGAGTTGATGATTTGACGTTAAACTGAAGAAATTTTTTATTTTTTTAAAGGATCATTTTTCTTTTCTTCATCTGTATAAACAGCCTGGAGATACAAGGTTTTTTTTTTTTTCTGGAAAAAAAAAATAGAAAAATGAATGCCTCCTAAAAATATTTTTTTCACTTGCCTCTCAGGAGTTAAAGGAAAAAAAAAAAAAAAAATTCTACCAAGAAAGAACAGTAACGCTTCATAACTTACTAACACACTATTATATATTTACCTCGTGTTTGTGCATGGAGAAATTAAAAATCACCTGGAGGGAAACATGAAGGCTTTTAGTCAGATTTAGACTGTGGTAGTGGCGTACTTCACCCTCTTGTGGCCGAAATCAGTATTACAAAAGCAAACACCCAAAACTAAATTTCTTGGTAGAATTATTATTATTATTATTATTTATTTTTTTGTAAAAAAATGTTTTAATCTAAGTTTCTTTTTCGTTTGTAATAACAACCTCTGAGAGGCAAGTGAGGGGGGGGTCATTTATTTATTTATTTTCCCCAGAAAAAAAAATCCCTCTCCTCTTGGGATGTTTATACAGATGAAAACAAAAACAGAAAAATAATCTTTTCATAAAATTAAAGATTTCACTTGCCCCTCAGGGCTTCCGTACAGTTTCCTCATTAGTTGTTTAGTAAACAGTGAAAAGGCCAAAACGTCTGAACTGACTTGTGTTTTGAGACGTAGTCACGTTAGCGACGCCGCTGCGACGCTTCTCCATCTGGCAGGTTCAAATACTTTTTGTTTTTGTTTTGTTTGTTTTATTGTTGAGGAACCCGAGTGAAGACCGAGGCCTGTTTGAAGGGGAAAGGTAACATGTTTCACCTGCTGTGTAAATAACCTCTAAACTGATGGTTTCTGAACAGCTGATTGATCTCGACAAAAGTACACACACTTTGTCTTCACTGTCTGAACTTTGGAGCGATGGAAACAGGATGAAGTTTAGGTTTTTTTTGTTTTTTTCATATTCTCTTTCAGGGCAGTCGAACTTTGGAAGGTAAATAATTCTTATTTTCTTTCAAGGGTGATTAAAACAACTTTCCACTATGTCAGAATGAGATGTACTTTTATGCTTTATGATTGTTTTTGAAGTGTTGTTATGTGTAAATCATCTATTTATTCATAAGCACCAGCTTTATTTTGGTGAACCTGGTATCTGGGTCCTAATCAGTTTCTGAAGAGCTTGTGTATTTAAGGAATAAAATGAGTTTTATGAAAAATGTCCTCTGTAATATTTTCTCCTCCAGAAATACCAACATCCACTCATTTAGTTTAGCTAAAGATTTTACTTTAATATTTTTAAAAAGTACAAAAGTACCTGTTTTTTTTTCCAGTGGTGGAAAGTACATAACTATAGTACAGTACTACTTCAGTAAAGTTTTGAGATATTTGTACTTCTTTCATATATTCCAAATGAATTTAAATTATTAAAACATAATTAACAAATAAATGATGATGTGTTGTTATAGATTAAAATAACACTTAATTGATCTCCAGGACATATTCACATGTAAAATTAATGCATCAATAATTACTGTGTATTCCACAGTATCTATGATCCTGAAATAAGCCATTCTGCACAATGTGTACTTTTACTTCTGGTACTTTGAGTATATTTTGATACCAATACTTTAGCACTTTAATTTTGAATGCAGGACTTCTAATTGTAACTGAGTGTTTTTACACTGTATCTGATAACACTTTAATTTAAGTCCCTCTAGTTTGTATTTATAAGCAGAAGCCTGTATAAACATTTAAAACATGGTTCATAACAAACTTTAATGTAGTTAACTGATATTTTCTCTCTCTCTCTCTCTCTCTCTCTCTCTCTATAAAAATAAACTCCAAATGTCAGAATCAGAATGTGCAGCTGGATCAGGACGTTCCAGACATTCATTTTCTCAGCGATTTCTCATAATTTCTGACATTTTCTGAATTTTCTCTGATAGAAATGAATGGAGGGGAGTGTTAGCCAGCGACACAGTTCAGCCTCAGCTTTTCCAGAAGTCAACAATCCCACTGCAAAGACCCCAGACCTGATGCTAATGAGACCACGGACCCTCATCTGATTTTTTACTGGGGACCCCCAGGAACCCCCTCGAGAACCCTCAGGGGTTCCCGGACCACACTTTGAGAACCACTGCTCTAGTTAACGTACAGGACAATTCAAACTTCTCCATTGAAGATATATTTAGTATTGTTACGTAGTTGAGTAAATTGTCATTTATAGTTGTTGGTAGATACATGAATAACAATATCTATCTATCTATATACATATCTATATATATAGAGATATGTATATAGATATGTGTATAGATATATATATAGGTATGTTAACAGAGAGTCTGTGTCGCAATAAACAGCCTTCAGCTACAGGATGAAAGTCCACCTGTGTGTGTGTGTGTGTGTGTGTGTGTGTGTGTCTCTCTCTCTCTCTCTCTCTCTCTCTCTCTCTCTCTCTCTAAGGGGGGGGCGTGGTGTTTACTACTCTACCTCAGTTTCCCTCCACTGCAGCTCATTCACAGACGCAGCTTCTGTCAGAGCGACTCAGCAGCTGAGACATGAGCGGACGAGTCGGAGACCTGAGCCCCAAACAGGCTGAAAGCTTAGCTGAGGTAGGAAATCAATAATCTAATATTGATCCAATATCATTTTCTCTAGGTGGACTGTAGTTTGCAGTTTGTCGCGTGAGATCGGACTGACTCTGTTGTCCTGGTATCTAAGACTCCTGGTTGTTGTAGTTGTTATGACTCACACTGATCCTATGGAAACTTCACTGACTGCTGTGTTTATAGTGACGGTGTTTTGTCCTCATTTATTTAAATACATTTAACTATATTTACATTTTATTCCTCTTTCTACTTCACTGCAGGGAAATATTTCACCTTGCCCTCCACTACATCTATATTTATATAAGAAGATACAAGCTGTAAAACACAACACATTAAACACAGAAAAATCCAGATTAATCAAAACTTTCTACTCCACAACATTAAAATGATCCTTAAATAATGATGTAGTTTTATTGATATTTTAATGTTATAATTAAGAATCTCAAAGTTTCACTCTGTACTTTTACTTGTGAGACTTTAAGTACATTTTGTCTTTCATGGTCATTTTGAATCCAGGACTTTTTCTTTCTAACGCATCATTTTTCATCGTTGTATTTTTTCAACTAATCATTCAGTTATTTGGTCTATAAAATCTAAATATTGTCAAAATATAATGAAAAATGTCATTTGATTAAACAACTGTCCAGAATCTGAAGACATTCAGTTTATAATTATGTTAGACTTAATGAGTCGACTGATGTCTGACAGTTAGCGTAGCTTAGCATAAAGACTGGGAAAAGAGGGAAACAGCTAGCCTGGCTCTGTGCAGTGGTAACTCTAAAACTCTTTAATTAACAGGTTAAGAAGGATAATTAGCTGTTTACAGGCGGTAAATCTGACTAGCTGTTTCTGGAAATTATAGTTTTTAGACTCAGTTTTAAATAAACAGGAAACAACATGTTAATCTTTGAGCTTTAGAGGAGCTGCGAGGTGGATTTGTTGCCTTTGGACAGAACCAGGCTAGCAGTTTCCCCCTGTTTCCAGTCTTTATGCTAAGCTAAGCTAACTGGCTGTCATGTTTACAGACATGAGAGTGGTGTCAAACTTCTTGTTTTACTCTCAGAAAGAAAGTGAATATTTAAAGTGTTGAGCTATTACTTAGCTGTAGCTAATAAGCAGCCACTGTCTCTTGTTATCAGGCTTTTAAATCCAGATTAAAACATCCAATCAGCAAAAAAAATAAACACGTCTGCCTCTTTTAAAAAGTTCATTTATATTGTTTATATGAACTTTCTCTTCCTCCAGTTTCGGGGGAGGATCCAGGACATCCTCCCCGACCTGCCTGCACAGCACGACCACTACCTCCTCCGCTGGCTCAGAGGTGAGAGCTGCAGACTCTCCACATCACACACACACACACACACACACACACACACACACACACACACACACACACACACACACACACACACACACACACACACACACACACACACCTGGACAGGCTGCAGTCTTAGTGTTTTCTCAGTGTTCTTGATGCTGGCACAACAACACTCAGTCAGTCGTCCAGGTACAAGGTGACTTCTTTAATCAGCCGACCTCCACTGCCACAGATAAACAGGTTAAACACAAAAGATAGAAATGATGACAAATGGAAAATACCAGAGGACATGAAACACTTATTATTTCCCTCCACCTTTTATTTGTTATTTGTTGTCTGTATAATCAGGACTTTAAACGCACCATGGGATGTGCCTGTTGTTTTTACTGCATTTAGGATTTAGTGTTTAAGGGAAATAAGATAAACTCAGCACAGTTTATTCACTTTTCAGGGAGAGATAAATGTGTTTAAAATAGGTTTTCCAATCGTATATAATTCACTACAGATGGAAAGTAACTAAGTTCTTTTACTCAGGTACTTCAGATTTTAGTTTCTTGTACTTTATTGAAGTATTTCCATTTTGTGCTACTTCATAATCTTATACATGAGACAACCCACTGTTAAACCAGTGGTTTCAAACCCTTTAGGTTTATCCTATTTATATTTCTACTCTATTACTATAACTTTAATATACTACTATGTTCTAGATTTCTATTTTCTACTTTTAGATTTAAAATAAAATATGAAACGTTTCTAAGATACAACAATTTGTTAAAGATTAAATCAGTGTTTCCCAACTTTTTTGACTCGTGGCCCCTGACAGAAAATCAGCGTCCAGTATGTTTTAGGACAAATTTCACAAAAGTAAAATTATCCAATGTTCCTGCAAGAAACAAGTTAAGATTAGAGGAAAGTCCAAAGATAAGTACAAATGTGAATATGAAAAATTTGTTTTTTTTCTTCTTTCCTCTCCCGTTAATCGTCTCATGACCCCTCAGATATATCTGCTGACCCTCTGGAGGGGCCCGACCCTTATATTGGAAACCAGCTCCAACAGTAAAATGCCGCTGAAACAATGATGCATCAGTTTTTAACAATCTGATGATGTCAGAGAATCAGAGGGGGGAGATTAATGCTTTTATTTTGATATTTTAAGTGTATTTTGTTCATAGCATTTTGACTGCAGGACTTTTACTTTTAAAGGAGCTTGTTTACATCCTGGTTTTGGGATTTACTCCCACCACTTCCTGTGTGTGACCCTTTGAAACCAGCGTCTCTGACCAAGGGAAACCTGCTCATTGATGACGAGCCGAAAACAAACGCAACAAAGGCCGTTTATTGGCTGTCACAGTTCAAAATGCTTCAGACGCCCGAGGCCGCGCTCGCTCTCTCTGCAGTGTCACACACACACACACAAACCTGTTCCCGTGTTTTTACATGACGCTGCAGCCGGTTTCACTGGAGGACGGCCTGTGTGGAAATACCTGAGCTGGAGTCTCTGGTATCGACACCTATCAGAGACCGTCACACTGAGACTCAGTGTTTCCAGCCTTAAAACACAGCCCTCATGTTTGTCCTCAGTTTGAACCATTTAAACTAACAACTCATTTCATTTTTCTTGTTTTAAGTTTCTTTGACTTTTCTTTAATCTTTGAGAATATTGGATCATTTTCTCTCTTTAAAGTGAAAACAGGATCCTCACTATCTTCTTGAGTCATACAAGTTGGAAACAACGGGTTTAATCTTTGACAGTGTCTTGTATTTTATAAGATTATTGTGTTTTTAATGTAAAATTTTATTATGAAAAGTAAGAACAGCTGTCAGATAAAAAACTGTGAAGTAATAACTACAATATTTTCCTCTAAAATGTGGTGGAGTAGAAATATAAAGTTGCATAAATTACCCCAAACTCGTACTGTACTGGCTCATGTTAGCATTAATATCAGAGTTTCATCTGCTCCAAAACTACCTGTAAAACTTCTTTACAATCCTGCAGTTATTTAGTTTTTATGATAAAACATGAACTATTGTTTCTGTTTGAGCTCAAGACCTCAGAAGTTTAGAAAAACCAGCATAAAAAAATTAAAAATAATAAAGATTATTTGGTAAAACTTTACTTTAACACGTCACACTTATAATTTATTTATTTACTTATATTTTTTTTAACCTAATGAAGCAGTATATAAACATAATATTATCATTTATAACACAACATGATAATTATAACACATTATAATGTCGTTATAAGCAGATATAAGGACAATGTAAGTGTTTTTTAGTGTAATTTAAACAATAATAACTTAATTATTTGACTATATTGTCATTATTATGTGTTTATAATGCAGTGACCACAGGGGGATAAATATTTTTTAAACTTTTTATTGAATGTTAGATGTTAAAAAATAAATCGAATAATGAATAATGAAATGAACGGAGAAAATTTTGAGTCAAATGAACAATAAAAAGGTAAAATGCTAATATTCACATAGAAATATATACAGTATATATACAGATAAACACACACATTAGTGATATAATATTAAATTAATTATAATAAAAGTTTGCAAACTCACACAGACCTGATCAGTCCAGCTCTTACTAAAGTGATACTTGAAATGTCCGATGATAATTAGCATCATTAAAGAGAGCGAGGTGTGTCTCTACAAAACCAGTGGAGGTGACTCAGAAGGTGCTAATGGTCTGTTAGACAGAGAGTGAAGGCAGCAGCAGCTGAAACACACAGAAGTGTTGTAGTGTTGAATGTATGTTGTGGTCGAGCCAAAAAAGTGAAAAGACTAAACCACCGCAGACACACAAAAGACTATTAAAATGAAATAATAAACTCTATATTTATATCAAAACACACTCTGCAACAACTCATCCTCCATTGTCTCGCTCTTCATGACTGAGCACCAGTATTTACTAAAATTAGATCAAATATGATGTTTTAAATTAGTTATTTAACGCCAAGCCAATACTGGAAATGAAAGGGGCGTGCTATCAGCGAGCTAACATTAATTAGCTAAACTGTAACTTCAGGCTAAAGTTAGAAACTAGTTAACATTAATTAGCTAAACTGTAACTTCAGGCTAAAGTTAGAAACTAGCTAACATTAATTAGCTAAACTGTAACTTCAGGCTAAAGTTAGAAACTAGCTAACATTAATTTTCATCCGTGACACAAGCTAATTCAGCTCCCCTGATCCCCCCATAATTTGCTGAAACTGTAACTTCAGGCTAAAGTTAGAAACTAGCTAACATTAGCCTTCATCCGTGACACAAGCTAATTCAGCTCCCCTGATCCCCCCATAATTTGCTGACCGACAGGTGTAACACTTGATTTTGTAGTTTACTGTGAAACCCGTTAGAAGCCAGGACAGGACACAGGAGAAACGTCCCCCCCCCCCCCCCACCCCCCCCCGACACACACCTTAAAACAACAGTGAACACAGGAGCAAAAAATCGACCGACTGACTCGGTGACATCAGTCACAACAGATTATCAGTCTGACAGTTTAAACATTAGCCACCAGCAGCCGGTGGTCGAGCAGCAGCAGCTGCCTTGGTGTTCTGCCTGCTTCTGAATCCAGCTTTACATAATCTCACTTTAAGGCGTGCTCTTTGATCAGATAATTGACACGAATTTTTCCACCGCGTCTCTTGGTTAATCAGTAATTTCTTTCCTATAATTTTCCTTTGACCCCGCGGCCGTGAAACATATTGTGTTACTCAGGTTTGAACCACCTCCCCTCAGTGGTCAGTAAATGTTTGTTTAATGCTGCACAGAATTAGACTGGGTGAAGCTGCACAGATTTAAATTTCTTTACTTTTCACCAACATTTAAAAAATACAGACGTGACATAAAATATGTAGATGATGAGTTTCTCTCTCCTCCTCTTGTTTCCTTTACAGATGTTCTGTCAAATATCCAATCAGTGCAGAAGTTCTCATTTCATTTAGATTTTAATCCTTTTCTGTCACAAACAACAGACACAAACAAACAAAAACACAGATTCAATCCAACATTTGACATCGACATGAAAAAGACAAAAGAATACAAGATGAAATAAAATAAAACTAAAGTTAAACATGACAGGATAAAACACTAAAAAATGAATAATAACTCATGTGCATAGTGGCAGACTGCTGTTGTGAGGTGCAGATTTATTTATTATTGATTGTACAAATGGTACATTTTTACTAAAATATAAAATCCTAAACTTTCATGACCTTTAGTTTAATAAATATAAAAGTTTATATCTGTTTTTAAACAGTGTCCTCCCTCCACACCAATAGATTTAGATCCAAAGAACCGTGTCTGTGATTAGAGCTGCAACAGGTTGACGATAATCGATTAGTTGAGTGATAGAAAATGAATTAGCCTATACTTTGATAATCAAGAATTGCCATTTTTCAAGCATCCAATGATCTCTGATTTGTTTCTTTTTTTCTTTCTTCTTTAGTAAATTAAAAAATATTTTTGAATGTTTTTGACATTAAATCAATTAATGAAGAGAAAAACCAGCAGATGAATCGATGATTAAAACAGTCATTAGTTGCTACGTTTTCTATGAATTTGAGTCTTTAGTTTTGCATTTATACACACATCAGCTGTGTTTAACGATTTTAATTATTAATGTTATTATTTCTAATCAAACATGTAATGTGGTCGTCTTATTTTGAAGGTTTGAAAGGAGGACTGTTGCTGCTTAAAGACCATAATTATAAACTTACATGCTCCACATGTGATTGATCCAGCAGGACCGTGTGTGTGTGTGTGTGTGTGTGTGTGTGTGTGTGTGTGTGTGTGTGTGTGTTGGTGTATGGTGTGTGGTTTGCTCTTCAGTGGGTCATAGTTCAGGGAGGCTCCAAACCATTGGGGACTCTGTGGATAATATTAGCATTGATCGTTTGCCCTCAGACAGTTTTGACTTCGTCTGAAAACAGGCTGAATTATATGAACTGTGTCAGAACTTCTATTGTTCCTATAATTAAATAATAGGCAGAGAATTATCTTTATGTTCTGTCGCCTCGTAAACATCTGACATGAGCGAACGTTGTCTGAGTCATGTTACCTGTATATTAATTATCAGGTCGTTGATATTAATCAATTATTTTTCTTTTTCCAGCTCGTAGCTTCAATGTTCAGAAAGCCGAGGCCATGATCAGGAAGGTAGAGCTCTGACGTGACGTTCACTGATCTTCCTCGTGTCCTGAATCTTTACATTTTAAGCCACTTCTTCTTTCCCTGCTGCACATTTTAAAGGGAAATGTTGTAATTTAACTCCACTGCATTTCTTTGAGAACCAAAGTTACTCATTACTTTGAAGATAAAGATTTTATTTTACACAAAAATCATGTTGTTTAAAGGTTAAACTCGTGTTTTTCAACCTTTTTCACTTGTTACCATTTACATCAAATCTGAGTCTGGCTCATGTTCAGAGAGGTGAAATTATCCAACGCTCCCACAAAAGAAGTCAAGATTGGACCCCTCAGATTTAAATCTGGTGACCCAGATAGGGGCCCGACCCCTAGGTTGGGACCCACAGGACTAAATTATGTAAGGCGTATGTGACGTAGCAGCTACGACAGTAAAATGCTGCTGAAGCATCGATGACTCAGGATCAATGATCTGATAATACCAGATATAATAATACATCAGTCACAGAGGGCACAAGAGGTCACTGCCGGGGTTCAAAGAATGATTATTTTCATATTTATTAAAACATTTTTTCTCATTTTAAATCTCCATCGTCGACATCTTCAAAACGTCTCCTTGTGTCCGACCCACAGATCTTCAGTTTACTGTCGTTTATGACAAAGAAAAACATCAAAATTCTCACATTTAATAAAGATGGAACCAGGAAAAACGATGAATCTTTTATCAAAATAAATCGGCTTCAGAAAGATTTTTTAATACGTTTGCAAACAAACTCTAAAAACATGTTTTCACTTTGTCATTATTGATCATGGAGCGTCGACTGATGCACAGACTGTTATGTCAATGAAATGTGAAAACATACAGGGGTCTGAAAACTGTCTGAAAGCTGCTGCAGCTGAAGGTTCGTTTTTCTGTCAGTCAACTAATTGATTAATTGACTAAATCGTTGCATCTGTTGAGCACAGTGAGCGAGGAGTTATGTTCTGACTTTATGTTGGTTTTTCCTTTAATATGTCCGGCCATCTGTTTCACCTGCGTTCACCAGTGTGTAAACTGTATTAACTCCCTCTCTCTCCCTCTCTCTCCCTCTCTTCTCTCTCTCTCTCTCTCTCTCTCTCTCTCTCTCTCTGCAAGCATGTGGAGTTCAGGAAACAGATGAGAGTGGACACCATCATATCTGACTGGAGACCTCTGAGGTGAACACACTCAGATTTGGTGTATATGTTTATTTTGAGGGCTGACAGGGCAGGAAATGTAAATCAATAATAAACTGTAATAATCTTTTAAAATCACGCTCCACCGATACTGCAGAAATGTGTTTTGGACTTTTTCTTTTGAACTTTCTAATTCGTTTCTTTTGATTCATTTAAACTGTTTGCAGCTGCAGAATGAGACGAAACACAAATAAAATAAGAAAAATCAAACAACAACAAAAATATATAAAATAAACTAAAAATAAATCAAAGAAAATGTAGAATGGGGAAAAGAAAATCACGTGTCAAAAGAAAAACCATAGTTTTAATGAAATTCATAATAACAGAGTTGTATTGTGACACAACGTTAACGTAAATTTTTCTTCTTCATGGAACTAAGACGTTATTTATTTTCTGTCTGTTCAATGTTTTTAAACAAAACGAGTCTTAGTTCATTTTTATATCTAATTAATCATAATGTTTTATGTAAAATGTTTATTCGTTAAAAGATCCATAAAAAATTAAAAAAAATTTTTATTTCACTTCATGTAGATTGATGATAAGGGGCTTTTACTGTGAAAGGACAGCTGTACTGCTTGGTCCAGGCTCATATTTTGAAATCTGGTTCCAAAGGGTTAAAGAAGCAAGTTATACAGGACTGTCTGCAGTTATGATGTCGGGTCCTGATCTCACCTTCCCTCAGGTGATCGAGAAGTACGTTTGTCTGGAGGGATGTGCGGCTACACAGGGAGGGAAGTCCCATCTGGTACGATGTGATTGGTCCCCTGGATCCCAAAGGTCTGTTGCTGTCGGCAACCAAGCAGGGACTTCCTGAAGACCAAGATCAGACACACAGAGATGCTGCGGCAGGAGTGTCAGAGGCAGACCGAGAAGGTCAGGACTGTCTCCTCATCTCCTTCTTGTTTCCTCCTCTCCTTTCCTCTTGTTTCCTTCCTAGTTTCCTTCTCTGCTTTCATTTGCTTCCTCCTTTCTTCTTTTCTTCTCCTCCTCTCTCCTCATCTCCTCTCCTCATCTCTCTTGTCTCCTCTCTTGTTGCCTCTCTTGGTTCTCTTGGTTCCTCTCCACTTGCCTTTCCCCTCTTTCATCACTTTTTTGTGTC